AGTGCATCTGGTCTGTCCAATGTAACAGTTGTGTCCATATCAAATAAATAAATCTCCTAAATCCTCAGGACGTATAGAGGGGCTTGAGGATGTCGTCACTACACTTTAAAATGTTTTTTACTTCAGCATCTGGAGGGCAGCAAACCACATGCCATTGTCAACGAGATGCCATTTGTTTATTTTTTAACAGATGGAACACATTCCAGGTAAATGAGGTGTGGATTTAAGGCCTGAAGCGGACTAAAAAAACAGGTAATTAGAAGGAAAATGTCATTGAATGTAATGTAAAGAGCATATATGGTTCAAAGGAGCTGACCACAGAGGCTCTTGAATCAGCAGCGCTCACTCACATGTCCCTTGTCTGAGAGCATGGCCGGGACGGTATATTGACATTTGTTACATACTTGGAACCTTAAAATAAAATAGATAATGATAACTACAGTTGTGATTTAGAGCTATATGAGTATAAATCAAAATTGAATTGATATAGAATTAACAAGCCTTCAACCCCCAGCAGGTGGTTTGCATCTGTATTCAGTGCTTAGCTATTGTCACTGTACTTGAATATGAGAAAACATTTCACAAATACAGTGCAAAATAACCCCCATCACATTCACAGTTTCTTGAGTTTTAGTCTAATTGGTATGAGTGGTGCAGAGGCAGAGGTTTCCAGGGCCAGTGTGCACGCTAATTACCGTAGCTGCACCGCGTGTCCATCAGTTTTGCAGTGGCGGTTAGCTGCCCGTTAACTCCAGAGGGCTCCGCTAACGAGGCCCAGGTCAGACTCTGGCCCACACAGTGATACGCAGCGAGAATACTGATGTGATTTACCAACACACCGCCACAGAGGCAGCAGACGGAGCTGTACGTTGGTAATTGGATTTGACAAGCGCTCGGGTTGGCTCTGCTTCATTTGTGAATCAATTTGAACAGGACAAAATATTATTATATGCAAATGGTGTGATAAGCGCATTAGGTTATGCTGATTTGAAGAACACATGATGCATTGCTTGTGTTTATTTTGGCCCGTAAAGGTGAGGTACCACTTTCAAACCACACACCCATGTTACTACTATATACCATATTACTGGTGATGTCACGCTGGTATTGAGGAGAGGCAGCCTTGCCTTTTTACCTTTTTATCATAGCTGAGATCTGTGATGGCTGGAATTGTGCGCCACACTTTGTCAACATGGACTAAATCAAACTGTACTATACTCTACATCTGAAATTACTCAAAACTATCTATTTGGTTAAGTACAAATAAAGAAATGTTAATCTGCCTCAGTCTTTTCATAAAACTTACTTGTGTGCTTTCATTCATTCTAATGGCGTTGCTGGTAATGTCTTATGGTGCTCATTTGAAACTACACCACCACCCGGATTTATGATTAACATTTAGCATGTTTGAAATGTATTTGTATTTTTATTTTGAAATGTATGTGTTTATGACTAAACATTTGGAACTGGAAGTTTTGTATTTTAAAAAGATCATATCCATTCCATTCCATTTTCTTCCGCTTTATCCGTTGCCGGGTCGCGGGGGCAGGAGTCTAAGCAGAGACGCCCAGACTTCCCTATCCACACACACTTCCTCCAGCTCATACGGGGGGGCCCCAAGGCGTTCCCAGGCCAGCTGAGAGACATAGTCCCTCCAGCGTGTCCTGGGTCTTCCCCCGGGGCCTCCTCCCGGTGGGACGTGCCCGAAACACCTCCCCAGGGAGGCGTCCAGGAGGCATTCGGAACAGATGCCCGAGCAGCCTCAACTGGTTCCTCTCAACGTGGAGAAGCAGCGGCTCTACTCCGAGCTCCTCCCGTGTGACTGAGCTCCTCACCCTATCTCTAAGTGAGCGCCCAGCCACCCATTTTGACCACTTGTATCCGCATCTTGTTCTTTCGGTCATTACCCAAAGCTCATGACCATAGGTGAGGGAGGGAACGAAGATTGACCGGTAAATCGAAAGCTTTGCCTTTCGGCTCAGCTCCCTCTTTACCACAACGGTCCGATACAGCGACCGCATCACTGCGCACGCTGCACCGATCCTGTCAATCTCAAGCTCCATTCTTCCCTCACTCGTGAACAAGACCCCGAGATACTTGAACTCCTCCACTTGAGGAAGGACCTCTCCACCCACCTGAAGAGGGCAAGGCACCCTTTTCCAGTCGAGCACCATGGCCTCGGATTTGGAGGTGCTGATTCTCATCCCAGCCGCTTCACACTCGGCTGCAAACCGTCCCAGTGCATGTTGTAGGTCCTGGTTCGTTGGAGCCAACAGGACAACATCGTCTGCAAACAGCAGAGATGAAATCCTGTGGTCTCCGAACCGGACCCCCTCCGGCCCCTGGCTGCGCCTAGAAATTCTGTCCATAAATACAGTGAACAGAACTGGTGACAAAGGGCAGCCTTGGCGGAGGCCAACATGCACCGGAAACAGGTCTGACTTACTGCCGGCAATGCGAACACAGCTCTGACTCCGGTCATACAGGGACTGGACAGCCATCATTTTACTAATAGTGCATAATTAGACTTAGTGTGTAAATCACGCTGCCTTAACACTTGTTCATGGTTGTGTCTGCGGAGCTCCAGGATCCATTGTTCTGTAGGTTTTCTGGTGCAGGGGAGAAAACCTTCCAAACCAGTGATCCATAGAAGAACCATGCTGACTACTCATAAAGCCACTGGGGAAAAAACTGACACTTAAATGATCATAATGAGCCTATATCATAAAAAGTATGGGAAATAAACAATCATAGTCAGATATTCATAATCAGAGTCATAGTAGGTCTTCAGGAGTGGCCCCTGCACTTCTTGAAGAGGGCGTCTGTATTGTGTGCAGTGGTTCAGGTGAACACACAGGAACTTGTGAGAGAGTCCACTCTCTCAATGCAGCAGACATGGGTGCTGAGTGAAGCAGAGTGACGTCTACAGAAACATCTCCGGGTCGTCATCCTCAGTGATGAGTCCGATAATGGCAGTCGTCAAAGAACTTCTGTAGGACAGAACTGTCCAGTGTTGGGTCAGCACCATGGAGCGTGTTTTCGCTCTCATTCTGCTCGTTTCTGTTCTCGGTCTTGATTTGTGTGTTCCTTTGAGGGATCCGCCATTGATAGAGACAGAACATTTTTTTCTGTTTTGAGGTTTCTTCTTGCAAATTCACATTCTGTGCATATTTTTAATACAATGCCTTGTATTTTATGCGGGGAGTATTACAGCTGCTGGCACAGGGCCGAGCATTTCCCTCTTCCCACCCTCCTGTGTTGTGTGGTGCCGTTCTACCAATTCCACACCCCTGCTCCAAGATTTGGTCGTCTGCAACTGGCGGGACAGGAAGACAGTCGGCCAATCTGTCTCTGCAGCTACACGTCACTAGCTCAGAAAGTTGACGTGCACCTTTTGTGCTAGGCTTGAACTATCAATGTGCCTACCACCCATCCAACAGGACGTGTTTGTCTGTGCTATTCGTTTTATGTTTCATTCTTGTTCTCCTTGTTCTCTATCAAGCTCAACTCGGTTTGTAACAGCTGTAGGACCGTTGTTGAAAAAGAGGGATTTGAGTCGAAAGGCATAGCTCTTGATTTACCAGTCCATCTACGTTCCCACCCTCACCTATGCCATGTTGTGTTTATGGGATATTGACCAAATCTTGGGGCACTGACAGAAGTGCGTCAACCAGTATGTGCCATTGCCCCCTAAGCACTCACACCAGACTCATTCAAGGCAATGAGGGTGAAGTGTCTTGGCTATGGACACGACAAAGTCCATTATTCAGAGATGCACTTCCACTATAGACAAGACTAATAAATTAACCCAGATGTATAAAAAGCCATTTATTTGTAGGGTTGTAGACCAATATAGACTCACAAACAAATGATAAGCAGGAATCATAACTTATGTTAAGGGAAACAAGACGCCAAAGCGGAGGATAGATCATAGGTCTTGGCATAGAATTACAAAAACTGTTACTCCAGTTAATATCAGTGTTTTGATCATATTTTCTATTAACTCAATCAAAATTTACAAAAGGTATAATTATTCTGAAATGTTCATTTTCACTGATAAAAAGTTACAAAACCCAAAACATTATAACAAAAGCCTATAAATGGCAACGCAAAATCTTCTAGTCTGAAATTGACAATCCACTGTGGACCACGAGTACTAGAGAGTGGAGGTGGGCAATTATTATGAAGATTTTGTAGTTTGCAGAAAAGGTTACAACTTAAAAAATGCAAAAAATATATATAGATTTGAGGATTGCATTTGATTCAAACAAAGCTTTTTTTCTATTTTGTTTGGACAAAGAATGAGTTTAACATTTTAAAAATGTGATGTGACAATATCCACAAATTGTAGTGCGCCGGCCCTTTAAACCCCATTACACTGGCATTTCATGTTTCAGAAATTACTTACATTTTGCTTAGAAAATATACATCTCACCTGGGCAGTTGTAAAGCACATTACTTGACCAGAGAAAGGCCCTTGTCCATGACATCCTAGTCCAAGGATTCGTCATAGTGTTACAAGTACAGAAGGTCAGGTTTGGGGCAGGTTTGGTCGGTTCATTTTCTCGTAGGAGGTGTGATTTACAATTGTCCATAACAATTTATTGGGAGCTATGAATGTTCATAATATGTGTCTGTATGAGTATGTATTCGATCAATGCAACCTGATTTAAAAGTAAAAAGGGACAGGGATATGATGAGAAGGGAAACAAAAAAGTCGAATGATGCTACACAAACAATTGCAGTCTTTCCTCATGTGCAAGTGAGACATGAGGGAAGACTGCTCCTGCTGCCATCATGTGGAGCAAACTACCAGCTTCTGTCTATGGAATAGTGTGTCAGCGTCGTCTCCCCTTTCTGTGATTGGACTCATTTTTGCTATAATGGCCCACCTCTACATAGTAGTGGCTGATTTAGTCACGCACACATGCATACGCAGAGACACTCATACGCACGCAAAAAAAACCTGAATGTTTGTATGGAGTTACATTCCCCCATTGTCACTGTGCTCTTTCAGAGTTCTCCAGGTTTGTGCTTTGCTTTGCCTCTCCTTTACCCTGGTCTCTCAGATCCTCTCCGGCCCCCTTGTCTTTGGGCTCCTCTCCGGCCCCCTTGTCTTTGGGCTCCTCTCCGGCCCCCTTGTCTTTGGGCTCCTCTCCGGCCACCTTGTCTTTGGGCTCCTCTGGAGGCTTGATGTCGTCCTTAAGCACTTCCTGGACATTGTACTTCCTGAAGAGCGTGTAGTCACGGACCACACTCACGCAGCACACGGCTTTGATCACTTCCACAATGATGGTGAGCTCAGGGCTGGTCAGGTCCACCTTGTTCTTGGGGTTGAGCTTGCCCACCAGGCCTGTCAAGAGACAACAAAAGAACAACAGTTAGGCAAATTGCTCGGCAATTTTATTTATTTATATATATATATATATATATATATATATAAAAATATACATATAATATACACACACACAAACACACACAAGGGAACAGATACAGTATCTAAAGATTAAATCAGTTTGAACCAAGACCCAGGTTCAAATGTGTATCGGGCAGGAAGAACATTTTTGAATGTCCTGCTAATAAATCTACTAAATCAAAGATATGTGTTGTCATCCGCAGCATTTACCAATATTGAAGCATGCGTACAGGCCTTGCGTATAGGTTTTGTCTCTGATGTGTCAGAATCCACTGACCACACATTACGACTGCCTCAACAAAACTTTGCAAATGAGAATTGTTACTCAGGCCATGCCTCCACAAACTTGAGGAGGGCTGAATTTTATGTGCTACGTGAGCAGTGTGCACCTGCGACGGCCTTGATGACTTCTTCCTTCTTGTTATGGCTGCTGTTGCGGGCTTTGAAGACAATCTGGTAGGACGCAGCGTTGGGAGTTTTGAACCAGGGCTCCAGGAAAGTGCTCAGAAATTTCAACATGTCTTCCTGGAATGCCTTACATGTTCCGGTCACCTGCAGAACGCACACACACAAATAAACTAACCATCAAAGTTCTTAGTGGACAAAAGCATTAATTGTTCACAAGTCGCAGAAGTCCATGATAATTTCTCACACCTCCCTCTAATCCAACTAAACATTTGTTTGGTCAAAGAAATAATGCATCGGCTCTTTTTTGGACACTGAAAGGCGCTTTACATGTCATTATTCATTCACTCCATTCTAGGCAATAGGGGTGAAGTGTCTTGCCTATAGCCCTATTCGGACGGGATTAGTATTACCTGTGGACCTTTGATAATTTGTGATAAATCGCGGAGGACGTCTGAGATTGCTTATCCTGTGTGAATGCACTGCACAATGTCTGTAACTTTCACTGACATCTGACATAACGGCTGCACGTGTGCGGGTCTTTCTGCTTCACGCAGTTCATAAAGTCTGACGTTTGACCACAGCAGCCACAGAGACCATACATGTGGATTTTACTGCTCTACAGTTCTCTGACCTGTACTTTCTGTAATGTTAAAACAATACTTTTTGTACGGACTACCCGTGAACGCCTCAAATACTCTGCTGACATACGCACGAGCCGACAAACGGCTGCAGCAACACGTCTGTGCAGAATAAACATAAGAACGCAACCCATCAGTCTGATCATTTAGTGTCCGTGAACACATTACACTGTCCTCTACACTTCTCCATAAACCTCACAGAGACAGCAGCAGCCGCCACACCGCGGGTGTTCACGGCCGCGATACGCGACTCCTCTGCTCATTGATAAAAACAATGCAGAAAGTCAAGCAAAAGTGGCAAAAGTGATCACAATCACTGACATGCAGATTCGCACAGGATAAGTATTATCAGAGGACGTCTGTGTTTGGACAAATACAGGAGGTAATTTGCACTGGAATTATTACTTAACAAATTACAGACATGGCGCATTCGCACAGGACTGAGACCTCAGACGTCCTCTGCGATTATCACAAATTACCAGGGGTCCACAGGTAATACTAATCCCGTCCAAATAGGGCTTAAGGACCCAACGGCAGTTTGGCACTTTACCCTAACCCTAACAGCCGCCCAAAAGTGGCACCTGGTATTCCCAGAGGTTAAGTGTCTTGCCAAGGACACAACAACAGCAGACATAAGTGAGAGTTGGTGGAGAAAGTCTTGTGGTGGGCTCAAACCCACAATCTTCAGGCTCAAAGGCCAATTATCTACCAACTGAGCTAAGATAAGATAAGATTTGCTTTATTTATCTCACATAGGAGAAATTTAGACAATTTACTACTGTCGCCTCGAAGAAAGATTATTGAAAAGTGGAAACCTGACAGGACTGTCTTTAGAAACAGAATTTCTAGGCGGAGCCAGGGGCCGGAGGGGTCCAGTTCGGAGATCACTGGATTTCATCTCTGCTGTTTGCGGACGATGTTGTCCTGTTGGCTCCAACGAACCAGGACCTGCAGCATGCACTGGGACGGTTTGCAGCCGAGTGTGAAGCGGCTGGGATGAGAATCAGCACCTCCAAATCCGAGGCCATGGTGCTCGACCGGAAAAAGGAGCCTTGTCCTCTCCAAGTGGGTGGTGCAGTCCTTCCTCAAGTGGAGGAGTTCAAGTATCTCGGGGTCTTGTTCACGAGTGAGGGAAGGATGGAGCATGAGATTGACAGGATCAGTGAAACGTGCGCAGTGATGAGGTCGCTGTATCGGACCGTCGTGGTAAAGAGGGAGCTGAGCTGAAAGGCAAAGCTCTCGATTTACTTACTTTCTTTGGGTAATGACCGAAAGAACGAGATCGCGGATACAAGCGGTCGAAATGAGCTTCCTCCGCAGAGTGGCTGGGCGCTCCCTTAGAGATAGGGTGAGGAGCTCAGTCACACGGGAGGAGCTCGGAGTAGAGCCGCTGCTTCTCCACGTCGAGAGGAACCAGTTGAGGTGGCTCGGGCATCTGTTCAGGATGCCTCCTGGACGCCTTCCTGGGGAGGTGTTCCGGGCACATCCCACCGGGAGGAGGCCCCGGGGAAGACCCAGGACACGCTGGAGGGACTATGTCTCTCAGCTGGCCTGGGAACGCCTTTGTCTCCCCCGGACGAGCTGGAGGAAGTGTGTGTGGATAGGGAAGTCTGGGCGTCTGTTTAGACTGCTGCCCCCGTGACCCGTCAACGGATAAAGCGGAAGAAAATGGATAGATGGATGGAAACCTTACAGGAAGCATTCGTAGGATCACACGGGATTTCTTCTTCTTGGTGGTGTGCAGGTCAGACAGGATGTGGTGCACCAGCTTGTCCGATTCTACAATGGACAATCACATTTTTAAAACATGAAGGATGATAATATTGAAAATTTTCATCATAGCCCTTTTTGAAACACTGACTTTTTACAGCTTTGAATCTTGTTAAAGTAGTTTTCCCTTGTCATGAACACAAGTCATTGTTTTCAGAGCGATTCCTTCATGTTTGAGCAATTTTTATACCGGGGACACCAGCTCTCCCTCTGGCTTCTCTGACCACTGCAGAATGCTTGGCATTTTATTTACTTTAGTCTCCATTTGATTTTCTGAATCTGAGATGAATCGTTCATACGAGCATGGACATTACACATAATCTTTGATACACATGAATTGGGGATGCACTGATACTGATATCGGGTTGATACCCAAGGTGGAGGTTTATACCATAAGATCCAATGCCAGCAACCGATACCCACATTTGTAATTTACATTAGCGTCACGACTGCAGAAAGCTGTACGGCTCGTGTTGCCAGGGTGATCTCAGCAAGTCCGCAGCAAGAAAGCAAGCTAGCGGCAAGCGGACAGGATGTTGGCCGTACATCAGTTGTTTAAAGTGAAAACCGTGACAAGAGTAGACTGTACATGTGTAAAATCACCACCACACAAAGTATAAAACCTTTGCTAGCACCGGAGCACAAACACAACCAACTCTATAAGATAGCATTTGTATGCGTGAACTATGATAGTGGCTTTTAATGTTGAGAGTTAAAACAATTGCTAAAATGTTTAGTAAGAGTTTTAAAATTTTCCATGACATTAAATTGTCAAATTTTGTCTTTGATGAAAATTTGTGTGTAGCTTGTTTTTACTTTTGGGCACAGCCCTTACAGACAGCATGAGACCTTTTCACAGCTGAACGCACCATTGCAGACCTAGAGTACTAATGCCACAGACTATATAAGAAGACACAGACCCAGGTTGTGCGTCTTGATGAAGATGACGTTGTTGGCACCACTCTCCAGGGCCTGGAAGCGTCTCTGCTGTTTGGCCTGGGCACCTTTGAGCTGCTCCACCTCCTTCTTTAGTGCAGCTTCCACATCATCCCCTTCTTCCTCTTCACTGCTGCCTTCTGCAGACTGGAGCTTGCACTGACAAGAAAAGACAAGTCAGATTTATACCACTTTTATTGCATAAATAAAAGCTGTAAGGGTTTTATTCTTATTTTTGTTTCCATTCTTTCTGAAGGAGACTCCAAAAAAACAAAAAACAACCGTAATTAGTTGGAGCATATAGCAGCCCACCAAACAATGTTTTATTTTTTCTCGGTCACAGGAAATGTCAGTTCTTAGCCTAAAACATAATTGGTAGAAAATATCAGCTTAGGCGCTTCATGTTGGCGTTTCATGTACACCATCCAGTAACTATGGGGAGTAAGTCATACTAAGGCAGAACGCAAAAATTACATTTGTAATCTCTGACTGTCCAACATGGTTAGACTCAGATGTGCATGTAGAAAGTTGTAAAAAACAAAAAGACAAAATAATAATAATACACAAATTTACACGAATAAGACTTGTATAACAACCATCCATCCATCTTCTTTCCGTCAATTCATTTCTGGGTTGGGTGCAGTCAGAGCTACCACCCGATTCACAGATTAATTCTATAACATATGCAAATTGTTCTTTTCTGATTACTTTTTATCGTACATGACAAATCCTGCACACACTATGTTTTGCACAATCGGAGTGAATTGAACTATGCCAAATATGACATGTAAATTTCTAAATTGTGAGATCAGTTAATCTCTTATCTCATCTTTAACCCTTGTGCTAAGTATATTACAACCCTGTTCTGGACCTTAGCTCGTTACTGTCAGTGTGAAAAAAGTTACGTATTGTTCATGTGTGAGTCTGTTGTGTACAAACTACACAATGTGCCTCATGTGGTTTTAACTCTGTCTTTCAGTGCGTGTGGTTTGCGATGTTAAGTTTGCTTTACGACGGACTTTTGCATAATTAAGATTGTTGTTCGGGTCGTTCTTTTAAATAACTGTGGTCCTCCATGGTTACTTCTTCAAACTTGTGAAATCTCAGTGAAAGCAACAATATCAGTAGCTCATGTGAAACAAAGTTGCAATTCTCACATCCTTTTTGATCTTTATCCACCACTGTTATGAACCAACTGATAATTTATTAAATATAAAACTTTAAAATTAATGGACGTTATCAATGTCAAAGTGTTAGAAATTGTGCATAGGGTTAAAAACAATAACATTTCCAATTCCATTAAGAGTTTCTTTAACTTAAGAGAAAGTTGTTACCACCTCAGAGGTTTATTTATATTTGAAATAGTTAAAGTTAGCACCAATGTGAAGTCCAGATGTGTTTCAGTTCAGGGGGTTAAGCTTTGGAATGGACTAAATGATCAATTTAAACTGTGCATTTCGTTAGCTGAATTTAGAATAATGATTAAACAAAAAACTATAAGTGATTATTTAAAAGATGTATAAAATGGGGTTTTCAGTTTGTAAGTAACAAAAAATGAGCTTCCTCCGCAGAGTGGCTGGGCGCTCCCTTAGAGATAGGGTGAGGAGCTCAGTCACATGGGAGGAGCTCGGAGTAGAGCCGCTGCTTCTCCACGTCGAGAGGAACCAGTTGAGGTGGCTCGGGCATCTGTTCCGGATGCCTCCTGGACGCCTCCCTGGGGAGGTGTTCCGGGCACGTCCCACCGGGAGGAGGCCCCGGGGAAGACCCAGGACACGCTGGAGGGACTATGTCTCTCAGCTGGCCTGGGAACGCCATGGGGTCCCCCCCGGACGAGCTGGAGGAAGTGTGTGGTGTGTGTGGATAGGGAAGTCTGGGAGTCTCTGCTTAGACTGCTGCCCCCGCGACCCGGCAACGGATGAAGCGGAAGAAAATGGATGGATGGGTATTTAATTTAGCTGAGATGATTCAGTAGCAGTTACGTGGTTTAAAGGATGGGCATAAATAAGCATTGCTTCAGCCTATTCCTTTTTTGGTTGAAATTTTTTGTTTGTTGTTAACATTATTGTTTGTACATTTGTATTGATTTAAATCAACCAAATAAACCATTCATTCATTCACTGTATTTCAAGATGGTGCATTGACACAGACAGTACTCTGCTCTCATAGACATCTATAAATTGAATTCTAAGCCTATGAAAACAATTCCAAAAACATGGAGGTAATTATTATTTAAAATGTCACATTAGTTGTCAGACATCATGTTTTTCATAGAGGTCAACAGTAAAAATTACACAGGGTGTCTTTTCTCAAAATCTTTGCTGTTGGTTCTATCACTCTGGTGGTAGAAGTGGAGAATTACATGCGCAGATCATATTCTAAAAATAAAAAGTTAAGTTTATTCATGTATAGTGTCTTATTAAAAAGAGAGATACAGCTCTGCTCTGATTTTTAGCGTATAGATTTGGAAAAGACCACTTCGAAGTGCAAGTGGTGGGGGTACATCATGGAGCGAGAGCCTTTAAATCTTTAAACGTGGATGAAACAATCATGCATATACCTATTCCAGCTATATGCATGATTGGAAACAGATTTGATAAATGATGAAACCCTCAAACAAGACCATTTGTCATTTCAGCGATTGAGCCAGCTGACCTTCTCGGGGCCGTACAGCTCGTCCGCGTACTCCCCCAGCAGGTTGAAGGCCTCGCTGGTGCACTTCTTCTCGTTCATGTTGCAGGTGATGAGGACGCCCTGCATGCCCACCTCCAGCTCCCGGGAGCCCCTGCAGCGCTTCCCTCCGCCGCCCCCGTACCGCTTCTTAGCCCGTTTCCTGGACTCGCTCTGGCCGCCTGACATGCCTGCTTCCCCCGCAAACGGCGAGCTAGCAGAGCGGGCTAACACGGAGGGTTGAGGTGCTTTAGGGGTGAGCTAGCGTGGACGTTCTGTTATCCAGGCGGTGGAGGATGGATGTGTTTTAGTTTATGTGAAGAGTAGAGTAGAGTAGAGAGAGGAGGATGAGAGTGAGAGTATTAAGCAGCTCCACGTGCGCTCCGACGGTCCATACAATAACATTGGTTAGCGGGTTGCCAGGTTTTCAGAGAACAGCGAGAGGTGACCGAAATCATAGCTGAAAAGAAGCTTTAAAAAAAATAAAACATAAAGACAAATACTATTTCAAAGTATGATTTTCCTCTCGGGTTAATTGTAATCTAATACTTAATTAGCAGAAGACTTACATCCTCTAACTATTAAAGCCATTTATCTTCTTTGGTATTCAATAAATTTAATTCGCATGGCAACCATCCATGTTGGCAACGCATGACATTTCTCCAGTGGGGCTAAAACTAGAGCAGTCAATTTGACGGGTTTTAGTTTTGGATCTTGTTTCTGTATCTATAAAGTTTATCACTATGTACAAATCATCTTTTATTTTTGAAATGTGAGGAATAAAAATATTTTGTGACATTCACCAGTTTTAGCACTTAAAAGCACTTTCATAGTTTTATATTTCGATAAAAAAGGATAGTTTTTGTATGGACGTTCAATAAAGCTAACTCCAAAACATTGCAAGATTTTGCATGCAACTAACATTGAATCACTTCTGTGTTTACCTGATGCCATCATGTTGAAATCTGCTAAGAGTTCAGCTGTTTAGAAAAGACTAGTTTCCTACTTGCAGAAAATCATTTTGTTTTTTTTCAAACTTGGCTAGACCTCAAATTATGTAGTAAATGGACATGATTATGTTCACCAAGAGTCTTTTCAATAAAATTTCTGTATTGCATTTATTATTTATTGTATTTACATTTGAGTAGGAAAACTCTCAATCTTTAATGAAAATTCCGTGCATTCATCCTAACTATGAGAAACTAAGGCACTGAGTTCCATGCCACCATCGCCCTAGCCTGGTGAGACCAGAATGATTCCCCTCTGTAGACTCACCGGCTGGTACAGCGGTGAGTCTGGATTTTTCCAGGCTACCATCGCCCTGTAGCGCATTGTCCTTGGATGTGATGGGCGTGACAGGCAGGTAACAGGAACTGCCTGAGTGGAATAATGGTGAACATCACTGAAAAAGGTCAATTTATTAAAGAGTATCGCGGGTGTTTTTTGTTATTATCATCAATCAATCAATCAACTTTATTTGTATGGCGCCTTTCCAACACAAGGCCACTCAAAGCGCCTCACAACCCACATAATATCACACAAATCAGAGACATCAATAAATACATTAAAAACAGAATAAAATCACAAGTAATGAAAAAAAAAAAAAAAAAAAAAAAACTTTAAATATTAAAAGCACACACGGGATTAAAATAATAAATAACCACAATGCATTAAAAAAAAGAGTATGTATCAATAAAATCCTTCAGCCGTATGCACAGCTAAAAAGAACAGTTTTTAGCCCTGATTTAAAAATTGCCAGAGTAGATGCTAGCCTCACATCTTCAGGAAGATTGTTCCAGATTTTAGCTCCATAAATCTCAAACGCTGCCTCCCCATGTTTAGTTCTGACTCTTGGAACCAGTAAGAGGCTACCTCCTGTGCTCCTCAGAGTCCGGGCCGGTTCATATGGGACTAACAAGTCGCTCAAGTACCCTGGTGCGAGGCCATGGAGAGACTTGTACACAAGCAGTGCTGCTTTGAAGTCTATTCTCTGAGCCACAGGAAGCCAGTGCAGAGACCTGAGAACTGGACTAATGTGGTCATATTTCCTGGTCCTGGTCAGGACTCGAGCTGCAGCATTTTGGACATACTGCAGTTGTTTTACAGCCTGTTTGGAGAGACCTGTGAGCAGGCCATTGCAGTAGTCTAACCTACTGGAGACAAATGCATGGATGAGAATCTCCAGATCTGATTTAGACACTATGTTTCTAATTTTGGCAATGTTTTTCAGATGGTAAAATGCTGCTGATGTTACTGATTTGATATGACTGTTAAAATTTAAGTCTGAGTCCATTATAACTCCTAGGTTTCTGACCTTGCCTACAGGTTCCAGGGAGAGAGACTGGAGGTGATGAATAACGCACATCATGGAATGTTTTATTTGGATCAGCAACTTCAGTTTGGAGGGTGCCATAATATTATCCATTATATACAATTGTGTGTCATGATTACAAATAAAACATTGCAGCAAAACTGGATATTGTTACAGTTTTCCTTATAGGCTCTTCCTCAAACTTTGTTGTTGATTGTTGACACTTGTACTCATGTGATGCATTGATACAGACGTTCTTGAAGCTGCCACGCTATTCTTGACCACCGCTGACTCCCATTTGAAAAAACCACATCTTTTGTCGTTGCGTTTCCCGGGACAACAGAAGAACGCTCTCCCCTGATTGGGCCCTCCGTTAGACACAGTCTGCCTCTTGGCCCTGCGACCGCACTCGCACAGCGGAGATGTGATCCGGCATCCTCCTTTCGCCCCCAGAGTTCTGTTCAGCGAAGTGTTGACGGACACATTTGACAAGATGCTCTTAGAGGTAGATGGACGTGATATTGTTGAGTAACTTGAATCTCCGGTATCGGTGTAGATCGAGAAAGATTTTGGAGCTGGCTTGTGAAACATCTGCGTATTTGGGACCAAAACCTGGGGCATGAGCAAATTTCTACTCAGACTTAATTCAGATTTGTTTAAGAGGCAGTGAGATGCCCATTTCTTCTTCTGACTACATTTTTGGTTGCCAACGGCTTTCAAAACAGGAACATTCTCCTCAATGCCTGGCTTCAAAGTGTTTCCTGTATTCGCTGGAAAGTTCATAGTCGAATTAATCTGCAAAGTTGACAAATTAAATTTCTTCGTAGGAACAACCTTGCATTCCCCAACTGGTTTGGGCACAGCAAAATGTGTTTCAATGGGATGCTTCAGAGAGTTTTCTTGATGACCATGCACACTTGTGTTGGCATCAGAGCACGGCCTTGGTAAATACACATGTTCTTCAGAGTAATTGCTTGCGCTTTCAAACTCTTCGCTTTCAATGTCTTCTAAAACCACGTCATCATAAGAGCCACACCGCTCTTCGCTTTCAGCTACAAACTGGACAACAGATCCCTTTACAGGCGACTGTTGCAAATGTGGTAGATCTTGGTCACTGTTTGCAATTTTGGAAGTGAAGTTTGTTGAAGGCGTGTAAACGGTGACTGAGGACAAGTTGGACAAAGTTTGTCTCACTATGGTTGTTCCATTGAGAACAGTTTTTGGTAAGACAAGGCTTTGAATAGTAGTAGGGTTTACAGCGGCAGGGAGATGATTAGAGCCCGGTTTTTGAAAGATGGCAGTGGAGGTGGAAGGCTCACTAATTATGGGTGTTCCATGGTCATTTTCTTTCTGTATTGATGGTTTCCTGGCTTCTGCCAGTGATTTAACTTTTGCAGTGATCGGCATCTGGAGAAAGAAGGAAGTGTAAGGAATAAGGAGAAGGTAAAAGGTAAAGTATGGTGTGTATTATTAGAGACCAAACAATCATGACCCCCCCCCCAAAAAAAACTGAATATAAGGATAAGGTTTGAAAAGGATACCAGTAAGATATACAAATGGGAATAGTACAGTTGGGGATTGCACAAAATTTTTGATTCCCCAAGTAGCATGTCATATTTGTTATAGGTTAATTTTAGTTGATTTCCTTGGTATTGGTAAAAACTTGTGCCATCCTCAGTTCAAGCTGAATTTTGATGATTTTTCCAAAGTTGACCAGCCCTAGTTTAGACCCGAGGATCTAAAAAGGGTCTACTTTTAGTTACTGTGGTGGGCGATTTTGACCCGAGGGTAGCACAAGGGTTAAAATGGATTTATATCAGTCATATGGGACTCAAACAAGTGTAATAACGAGTCATAACTAGGAGTGGGCTTCTGGGACATGTCCTGGAGGACTTCTAGGGCCTCTAATGTTTGTTTCATCTTCAACAGAATTGCATAAAACTGAATTTAAAACAGAATTGTCCATTGTGCCCACTCAAATGGATTCATGGTGAAATTGCAGATAGTTATTTACTGTTGCTTTATATACCAGCAGTATACCCAGACTTGGACAAACTGTTGGTCCAGGGGCCTCTGTGCATGCAACACGGGACTGACTCCATGTGTGGTCTGGTCTGTGTGTCGGACAGCACTTAATGAGACCGTTCCCTTTAAAGTGCTTCAGAAGATAAGGATCCTGACATTTGAGAAACACCTCCTGTCACTCTTCTTTATAAATTGTGGCTTTATTGGAATAAAACTATAATTTATTATTTACAGAAGGTGTAAATCCAGTTACACTTAAAAATCATAAAAGGCTGTTAAAGATGCATTAGGGGCATTAAAACAAACATAAATAAAATTGTTAAAAATGGAAGAGTCAGTGGAGTTGTGAGTGGCTTCAGGCTGTCCTCAGGCCCTGCGCACTCACCGGGTCCAGGCAGCGCGTAAGCCTCAGCACACAGCCGTCTCTCGTCATGCGCGCCGCTAACTGCGCGGTGTTGCGCGCGTCGTCCAGCCCTGCGCACACACTCCCATTTACAGTCTGCATCCTTCACACAAGGCAGATATTCTGCTTCAGTCTGGCTCCTAAACATCCTCTTGACAATTCATTTTTGAACTTGAAATTATTTGAGGACACTAGAATGAAAAACCTTTTAAAATGGTCATAGTGAACATTTCATTCTGCTTTCAGAATTTGGCATCCAACTTGTCAGGGTCTAAAAGGAAATCTGAATGTAATTTGAGAAATTCACAGAATGAATATTGAAACTAGACTCACTTGAGATGTATTGATACTAAGGGAAAAATCCATTTTATCTATTTATTACAGAACTAGTATAAAGTATTCTGGTACCATTATAAAGCATGATCATGTTGGATTATGATTCATATAGAAAAATGACAACACCACAGTCCCAAAAAAGGAAAACACTGTTATATTGACTCTTTAAAATCACAACCACACAAATTTGGGGACAATTATTTGTTTTTTTAAAAGACAGATTGGTTAACATCAACCCAAGCATCAAGTTTTTTTATCTGGCCCCACAGCAGTTTTTCTTCTAAGATTGTATTGTAATTTGCTCCCATCAACCCCAACACTGCCTGTTCCTACTGATGAAAAGCAGCCCAGGGTTCTCACCAGGATTTTTTCTCAGCATAGGGAGCGAGCAATTGCTTACGCTTCCGTAACATCTCTAGGACTGTGTGTACTGGCCAATATACTCAGGAAGGCCAATCCATACTTAAGATACAGGAATCTAAGGCAGTAAGAACAACTGCATACTCCCACTTTACATAATTGCATTCTTACAATAACAGACAATAGACAATAACTTGAGTGATGCATACCGGAGTGTTCACGGCCTTCAAACTGGATTCCCAGATCTTGCAGCGCTCCGTTAAGACCTTTGGGTTTTCTGTTGTAGAAGAGCTGAGGACACACACACACACACACACACACACACACACACACATAGATGAGTGCAAGGCACAGAACATGAGCCAAGCGTGCAGGCGTGAGGCTCACCCTGTAGGTGCTGCGCAGGTCGATCCAGCTGTTCAGCATGTGTGGTTTGTTTATCTGTTTCCGCTTACATTCATACTGCAGACACACACCCAGGTCCCAGTCTGAAACACAAACCTCATTATGTTCTTAAAGAGACTCCGGTTATATCTTCTAGGACCGTATGTAAGATCTTAACTTTAAATTACCTATGCAGGGACAAGGTTATACTACTGTATGGCTTCTATGGCTGTGTATACGGTGTGGTCTTTGTATGGACTGTTGACTGTTCATATTGACTATTATTGTAACTTGGGTTTGGCAAGAAAAGATCAACACGTGAACATTTGTGTGTGTTTGTGTCTCACCAGACCATGTGAGGAAGGTGCAGAGGGTGCTGGTGTTTGAGGCCTCAGTACTGGGCTGTCTGTTGGGGAATTCCAGGCCCTTCTGCTGCTGCAACGTCTGGAGCCAGCGACTGAAGCGGGACAGACATATTTGTAGAGGAACCCCGGCCTCCACCTGGCTCTGAAGCACACGCATGCATGTACATTAGTACTTTCCACTGGCCAATTATTAATATTTGGAATCTTGTTACCATGTCTTAATATGTTTGTAACAGTATGTATAGTTTCAAAAAGATGTGATATCTTTTGTTTCATGTGGAATGGCCCAGGAGTTACAAAACTCTAATCCAGTGTTTCTCAACCAATAATGTTGGATTTTCTATGTCATACACTTTGCTGAGAATGACTTTACATTGTTCATAAAAGGCTGGAGTGTTTTTTGTTTGTATCAGTTTCCGGTGGTGTGCCATGTAAATGTTTTCAATAAATAAGATGTGCCACAGCTCAAAATGTTTGGGGAACACTACTCTAAAACAAGACTACAATCTGACTCCTATAGTTACCAAGACAACATTTTCAGCTGCCTTTCACTGCAATGTCAAACCAACAATTAAACCTTAATGTAATCATAGTTTGATGGAGATGTTTTGCTGTAAACCTCTGCTCAAGATTATGAAGTAAATGGATTTGAGCCTGTGAGCTTGACCAATGCTTTGTGCAAAAATCAGAAACTGAATTTGGGGACTGAAGGCTCAAGCGTGGTCAGTTATTAGGGATAAAAGCCCACAGTGGACGGTCTGCTCTGTACCTGGGATATTCCTGTGAGCTCTGTACAGAAGCTGGACAGGATGGGATGTTCCTGGGGCTGGACGTATGAGTGGAACTCCCTCTCCACTTCGCCTGTGGAGGTGTTCAACAGGACAGCAGGGAACTCGACTGGAGGGAGGACAGAGCAATGAGCAATGAAAACATGCTTAATAATTTCAAGCTGTAAAAATGTTATATGAATATGTATTTTTTTGTTGGTATTCGTTACTTGCAAAACCACATCATTTGTATAGATAACTCTGCTACAGAGACTTAGAGGGCAAATCATTTGATATTGCATAATTATTTTCCTGATTCAAGCATTTTGATATTGTTTTGTATTTTGAATATTTTTGCTGTATCTTCATTTGCTGGACATCCATCCATTTTCTTCCCCTTAATCCATTTCTGGGTTGGGGGAGCACCAGCCCCTCACTGATCCTCCTGCAGGTTGAGAGTCCACAGGAGCCTTGATCTTTCAGCGGGGGCTTTGGGCAAAGTGGGGTTAAGTGTCTTGCCCAAGGACACAACGGCAGCAGACATCAGTGGGAGACGTGAAGTAGGTCTCGTGGTGGTTTAGAACCCACAACCTTCAGGCCCTAAGGCCGATGCTCTACCAACTGAGCCACTGTTGCCCCACATTTGCTGGACATTCATTCAATATTCAAGAATGTTTTTGCCATTTGTAAATCCACATTGGAAAAACTGTGCAAATCTACCCCAGTGTGCACCAGGCATGTACTTTATTGCAGTCTTTCCAATTTGGATGAATCCGGTCGCCCTTGTCAACACCTACTGATTTCTTGGCCGTAGTTATTCTTCTCCTTCCAACACGTTGACTCAAAATCTATGACAACGATGTAAGCAAAAATCTGATCTGTAACAGATTTAAGAAACAATTATTACGGAATCCAGCTCGGCACTAGCTTGGGACCACTCAAGCCCTCACTTTCCAGGAAAAAAATTACGAGTCAGGTTTGTGTAGAAGATACAAGCAGAGTAAGGACTAAAATATGAAACAAATTACAATCTTTGAAAATTGTTTGAAAAAGTTTTTATATTTATCTTCAAAACATTTGATTTTGTTTACATTAATTTTCTTGATTTGACTTTTTTTTTTTAAATAACTGCAGAATTTTCTCACTTTGAATGAACCCAATCTGATAATAACTCATTTGGTCAAAAAGAAACCAGAAAGATTACAATAAAAAACCTTATAGACCTAATTCAGTCTCTTAATAATGTATTTGTCATATTTTGTATTGCATTATTTGCAAATTGAGTTATGGTTATCCAACGAATTGTGGCAATCAACGTAAGAACTCATGCGTCCACCTTTGCAATGATCCATGATTTTAATACATTACATGTTTCCCTCATAGACTGTATGTTTCCTTATGTTAAACAAAACTTACTTGACACTAGTTTCTTGGATCCAGATGAGCTGCTGCTGCGTTGCCTCAGTAAACCCAGTTCTCTGGTGTAAAGACAATACAATAAATAACAAAAACAGATTTCAAACATCAATTACGGTATCATAATAAATCCATGGCCAGTATCGGTGCAACGCGACCACAATGCTAAAAACAATGCTAAAAAATGTAGCTTACTTGGCTAATCTCTTGGTAGCCATATCGCACCCACCATGAGAAAGACTATTTCCAAATCATTCGATTACAAATAGCTCGTTCACGGAAAAAGCCCGCGCTGGGTTTTAAACTTATATTCTACGATGAATTCCTTCTGTCTGCAGAACCCAAAGAAAGCGAGTACCGAGAGGTTCCATCGATCAGTGTGAAGCTGAGGATTGTAAGGTAAACAAAGCGAAATAAATATCCGTTTTTCGAAATAAAAGTAATTTGTTTAAACCGCGAAAAAAATAATTAGATACATATGCGATAGATGCAATAATATGTATATTTTTTTCGACACAAAAGTAATTATTTACATTAATCAACTTAGTGATTCTGTTTTGCTTACACATGGATGGTGTTTGTTATGTCTTTACCGGAAGTACTTTGACGTTGACGCGGATTTCATACGGGTGTTATCCTCACGCTTCTGAGCCATGTGTTCAGCGAATACTACCGGCTCTTCATCATAAATAAGCAACAATTCTCACTGGACTCATGGTAACTCTCTTTTTATATATATAAACTTTGGGTCTTTTAACGGGTTCAGCTTCCTTTGCGGGCGAAATGTCATGTAGTACTACCATACTCGGTTAATGGATATTGTACTCAATCAATATTGTAAACAGCAGATCTTAATTTCAGCTGGTTAAGACAGTCTATGATGAAGACCCATAATTGTTCTGAATCGTTGTTTTCTGTTGGAGCGAGGTTATCTAGTTTTCTCTTATTGTTGACAAGTTTTTAGTGTCACTATGATTTTGTGACAGTCATACCATTTTAGTTACACGTTCAGAAAAGCAGACTTTAAAAATTGAACTGTAACTCTTTTAACTTGGAAACATCTCGATGTGAAAACAGTGGCACAGTTAGTTCTGTATCAATGAGCTACTCGTCCAAGAACTGATAATATCTGTTATAGTTTTAGTTTTTGGTTAAGCAGCAATAGCTACATTCACTATAGTAGGCAATTTCTCTTTTGTTCCTCTGATAATTTTTAGTGTATTTTAAACACAGAAACCACAATGATTACACATTGCCTTCAGGACTGTGTGAGCTTTTTGTTTTGGACTGGCAGACAGGTACTGTGGTCCCTCTCTGTTCCAATTATTGTGGGATCACATTCCTCAGCCTCCCCAAACTACTGCTCTCCAAGCTACTGAAGAGGAGACTTTTAATTTTTATTCTTTATGTTGGCAAGAGAATTTAGTGTCCTTATTATTTGTGACAGTCATACAATTGTAGCTCTGTATTAAAGAGCTACAGTGTGGTAGTGGTCATTCTAATAATTACACAAATCATTGATTGTATAATTTTGCAGAAAGTATTATACTGCTTGTCATGTATTCTTGTGGTGAGTTAAATCTTAAGGGGCCTTGTGAGTCCCAGCCCTTTATGGTACATTGATGACATGGAAGATGTTTTGCCCCATGTACTGCTTTCTATAACAGAGGACTCAGCAAGGTTGAACCATCCTGATATCTGTCTGAGATACATCTCAAAGCATCACCTTGCTAGACTTGCTAGTCTACTGAACAATTGACCTAAGAGCCCTCTTTATAATTACAGGTCGTCCATCATACTGAATCACAACGTTCTCCAGACATGGAGCCTACAGAGACACCACGCAGCAGTAAGAGAAAAGCAGAAGATGAAACCAAAGTCATTGGGTCCAAAAGAGTAAAGCTGGGTCTGGATTGTGTGCTGGTCAGACACAATCCACTTGCGGACTGTGCAGAGGTCAGACACACCTTTCCTGTGGACTGTGCAGAGGTCAGACACACCTCTCCTGTGGACTGTGCAGAGGTCAGACACACCTCTCCTGCGATCAGTGTGACCTCAGAGTACCTCGAGAAGGCCATCAGTGAGGAGAAGCTGCTGGAGCTTCTACACTACTCTGCTCTGGGCAAGGCACCGGGGCGTGTCAGGAGGCCCAGGTACTACCACCTGAGACTGCTCTGACTCTTTCAAACATTGCAGAATTGTTTTAAAGACCAAATGCCTTTAAATCCCTTAAAGGAACAGTATGTAAACATCTGGCCAAAATTGGTACTGCAACCCCCCCCCACTTTCCTACTTGGGTTGCCAGATATGCAAACGAATCCAGCTGGGACCATAATATTTTTGTGACAACAGTTTTGTCAACAAAAAGTCTTTAATCAACACCTTTTTCACAAAGGCCCAAATGAAAATCCTTCTTTTATTCTTTGTTTTGTCATTAATGATTTGAGAATCATAATGATACTTTTTTTAGTTCTGCTGCCACATGTTACTTTACCAGTGAGATTAGCTCAATGCGCTGAGTTCTGGCAACCCGGATCACGGACTTTCTGATTGGTGAAACGGTGGAGGGTGGGACATCGAAATGAAAACAATTACAAGATTTAGGGGCTTTAAAACTAATTTCCAAATATCTCGGGTGAACAACTGTTAGCAGTTAAAGAGGTATTTGAAAAGAGCAGGATTTTTTAATGCCTTTTGACATATTAGGGCTATTTAATCATGACTTGACATGAACATTTTAAATTTGGCCACATTAAACATAATCTTGGCAATAGAAATGATCTGATCCAGTTATGCCAAACTGGTCTGGTTTTTCACATCTAAATCATAGTGCATGGGCTTACACGCAATTGATTTAACGTAAAGCAGATGAAGGTTTTGGGTTTTGCTTCTGCTTTGTAAACTTCCGCACAGATAGTGGTGCAGTGAGCACTCATTAATATTCCTTATTCTTCTTGGGATTTCTTAATCAAATTGCATCATTAAAGCTGCATACACCTGTGTTTTATTAAACATTATTCCCTAATCCAAAAGAGACGGCTAGTAAAAAGAACCTCTGGCACAAACACACGCCTCTCACCTCACCAAATGCTATTTTTCGGAACTATTTACACTGACAAATTCTCACAATATGTCTAAGTTTAGGTTTATATAATTCATGCTTACAGCTAAAATCTGAAAGACCGCAGAATCTAAACTTTAAAATAGTATCAACAAAAAAAAAAACATTTAAAATTTTAAAATGATGTAATGAACAGAGCTGTTTTCAGCCTTACAAATCCATTTGTTCAACCATTAATTAGGTCATGCCACATTGGATTTTGATCAAAATCTATGTTTGGATTTTTCCCACTTTTACAACTAAAAGAGAGTATTGCCTATTGTAATTATCACTTACTCCATGTATCATGTTTGTCTACTTGAGAAGGCACGGTGGAACAGGGTCTTTCTGAGTGGAGTTTGCAAGTTCTCCCGATGCCTGCATAGGTTTCCTCCAGATACTCTGGTTTCCCCTACCACTAAAAAATGCTCACTAGGTAAATCCTCCAGGGTTGGCCCTGACCAAGCCGAGCATCAACATCTGGAGATGGTTCTCGGGCGCTATACTACGGCGACCACTGCCCTTGACGTAAGCCTTAGCGGCATCAGGATGGGTCAAATGTGGAGGATGAATTGCCCTACAGGGATTAATAAAGTGCATATTTACCTTAAATGACTTTGATATAAAAAGTCTATGTCTATCATCATCATGTTTCATAGGGTCAAATGAAAGCAGAGTATTGCACGGTATGTTTTGTAAAAGTGTGATTTGTGTTTTAGCTGGTGCCACTTGCGAAGACAGAGAAGGCTGACGGCGGTCTGTGTGGCTGTGGTGGAGCATGTGAGTCAGAGGGACTTTTACCAACACTACCTGTCCCTCCCCAACCTGCGCACCAACTATACCGTCGTAAGTACTCATCAGCAGTCTGAGCATAGAAACACCCACTACTTTAGTTAAGTCTTTAGTTAAGTTTTATATTGGATATTCGACTGATTCAACACATTCTAATAATAAATTTAGCCCTTTAACCTTTTGACCTTTTGATTTCAAAACATGTTGAGTTTATGCCTACTGGTCCCTCACACTGGTTTTTGACCCATAGATCCATGTTTTTAACCCCAGATTTGAGCACAGGGAAGTAGAGTGCCTTTCTGCCCCACCTGGACCAGTATGGCCCCAAGTATTGCCCCACCGGATCATTACACATAATTCATTTGGATAAATGTCTGGCTGATTTGCCCCGTGTCAAAACATTAGAAGACAAATAAAACGTCTTAAGACGTCTTCGGGAGCCAATGTGATCAAACTAAAGATTTACTGCAGTATCAACATCCTGAGGGTGGAAGTTTTTGCGGTACTATATATGCGGGTATGGGTGTGTGTGCACCTGTGAAGACACAAATATAGATGGACTTTATCTTATAAAGCACTTTCCATACAGAAAATACAGTAGTACATCACGTGCATATATAAAAGAATGTTAATATGAGGAAAATCCAACACTACTTAAATACACATAAAAATGCATAAAGCCAACGTTTTGAAATTAAAAGGTCAAGAGGTTAAAGGGCTAGATAGATTTTTTTGGATTTCATAGTAATAAATCCTTGAAAAATCATTAAAAAACAACAAAAGGGTATATTGTAAAAATGTGTTTTGTTTCATGTGTGCAGGACCAGCATAGACCCAATGTGTTTTGAAATCAAAAGGTCAAACTGTTAAAGGGCTAAATAGATTTAAGGTAATTTTTAATAGCAAAAATATCATAAAAAAACATCAATAAGCTTTGTTTCATGTGTGCAGGACCAGTAGGCATAAACCCAACATGTTTTGAAATAAAAAGGTTAAGAGGTTAAAGGGCTAAATAGATTATTTGAATGTGTTGAATGTGTTTAATATAAATATAAAACTTATAAAAACTAACTTTACCGCAGTACACCCACACTTCCTCTCAATCCCGAGATGTTCCCAGGCCAGCTCAGAGGCATAGTCCCTCCACTGTAACGTGGGTCTTCCACTGGGCCTCTTTCTGGTTCCTCTATGAAGCCGTCCAGGAGGCATCCCAATCAGATGCCCGAGCCACCTTTACTGGCTCCTCTCGATGTGGAGAAGCGGCGGCTCTCCTAAAAATGTCTTCCATGTTGACAGAGCTACTCTGTGGAGAAAACTCTTTTTGAGCGCTTGTATCCGTGATCAAAATAACACAATATATCACTGTTGCGCTTATTACGTACGTCTGTACCTTTGGCTGCCTGGAGCCATCATGGTTAACCTGTACTATTTAAACGTGCGGACTAGCGTGTCTTGGTTTTTCCGGTAAACAAGAGCGCATTAAAGTTATTTTATGTGCCCTTGTGCGTAGTTGTACCTGCAAATTTAAGACTGAGGAGGCAGCTGGTAAGACCCGCCTGTTTATGGACTTTATGTGGCGCGATCAGTCGTGTGCGCTCTAAGACAGAACATCAGCTTTCATGCGGGCTTGAACATTGTTGTAGAAATCAAACTGGGATTATAAATCAATTTAACTTAAAAATGAATCTAATGATGAATTAGGATATCTGGGACAAAGTTCAAAGCTAGTCAATCTGTTCAAGCTAACTAAACTGTTGTTCTGTAGGGACGCGAGGCCAATGACGGGGTGGAGGCAGATACTAGCTTGATATCGGGGGCAAGAAGAGCATGATCACCGTTCATACTGACCATTCTTCCTAATATCAGAGTAATATCAGAGTCTATCAGAGTAAGACGTCAGAAGAGAGGGGGGTTTGGGCTACGGCTACCACTTAATCTCGGACTCAGAGACGCCATAGATGGACTCTTCTGTTTGTTCCATCCTATAAATATGGGAGTGAGTGAGCACTATTCAGCAGATCTACCCGGGACCTGCCACGCGGTTACACGGTTGTATTTCCTGTATATGTATACATTTACTGAGATAATAAACCACACTTTGATTTGAATTACAGCTCTTGTTGTTTATTTAATATTTAATATTGTGTATTTCACTCCTTAGAAATTCCACAACAACATTTAAACTCTGTCTATGTCGGCTTCGTATTGGTTCAGAGCGTTAGGCGGCGTTCACACCGGACCATGTGTAGCATCCAGTTTCAATTCAAAGTCAATAACAGTCTATGATTTTGATGCGCCTCATTGGTTTGACAGCTTTTAGTGGATAGCAGACTGCGGGGTATAGGCGCTGACTAGCTATAGTGTAAATGATCAAATTATATTGATGGGATTGTTTATAGCAGCAGATCTGCAGCCTTATTCAGCGGTGGAAAACACTCGGGTTTAAACATTTCATTAGTGTGCTTGAGCCTTGCTACAGTACGCTACAGTGTGCTGTAAAAAAAAAAGAGAAAAAAAGGAAAATAAAATCGAATCAAGGATTTGGAGAATCATTACACCCCTAGTTTATACATAACTTTCCCTTTTCGCTCAGCTCCTTCTTCACAACAATTGCGTCAAGTAGTGGTAACATTTATCATGTGTGGTGCTGTGTGCTGCAGAGACTGACCCTGAGCTCCTCTTCCTCTGACCTGGTGTCAGACATCTTCAGCTCAGAGGTCCACATCGTGCCCCAGTGTCCACAGAAGAAACGGGACAGTCCACACTTACACCCGGGTGAGCAGATGGACCATGCTGCAGTCATTTTTAATTGTACATGACATACATACATCATACACAAAAGAGTGTTTGCAATTTTTTGTGTGATTTTATTTATGCCAAACGTGACAATTTCTCCATTGTGAAATCAATAAAGTCCATCTTATCTTATCTTAAATTATTCCAGCCTTCCTTAAAAAGAAAAACAAATATAATCAAAGTTGTGAATATGTATAGCAAGAAGGTCCTGGGTTCGAATCCCGGTTGGAGCAGGGACTTTCTGAGTGGAGTTTGCATGTCCTTCCAGTGTCTGCGTAGATTTCCTCCGGGTGCTCTGGTTTCCTCTACCACTCAGAATATGCTCTATTGGTAAAATAGTATTAACATCTGGAGATTGGTTACTGGGGACTGTACTATGGCGACCGGTCACTGCTCCTGATGTAAGCCTCATCAGGATGGGTCAAATGCAGAAGACAATTTCCTAAAAATCATTTACATTTATTAAGTCTATCTTATCTTATATAATATTGATTATTGCAACACTGACATATTCATGTTACTGTTTGGAAACTAATGTTTTTTTCTGTGAATCTATGTTATAGAGCTGAGGACTCATCCGGTCATCACCAAGTATGGGATAAAGAGGAGGGGGCTAACAGCCTACCTTCTGACTGCAGACGATATGGCCAAGCGGAAATATCCCCTCATAGGTAGCACACATGCACTCACATACAAGTAGATATGGAATGCCATGTTGTGTATGTGACAGTGTTATAGTACTGTTACTACAGCCTAACAGCGTAACAGTATTCTTGAGCTGATGTGGTACCTATGTGTGTTGCAGGCTCTCCCGGCTCTGAGGACTATGTGAGGACAGACTCTGACCCTGAGGTGACCAATAGCAGCCCACTCTTTGGCCTCGACTGTGAGATGGTACAGCCTTTGACACTTTCCACTTGGCTCATTAAGGGGTGGGACTGGAACTATAGGTGGGACCCAGGCTTGAGCAGATCAATTACAAAAGAAGCTCATTCAACCTCAGTATTTAGTCCCTTTGATAACGGTATAGTGAGTGTATTCACAGTACCTGGACATATTTTGGCTGCTGCCATCGTTAGCGCTGTGGGAGTAGAGTTATTATTGTACATTGACCAACCTGAGAAATGATGTCAAATAATGATCTTATTTTATCTGTTTATAATCTGTGAAATGCTGGCAGTGCCTGACAAAGCAGGGGTACGAGCTCACGCGTGTGTCCCTGGTGGACAGCTCAGGAGCCTGTCTGCTGGATGAGCTGGTCAAACCCCACAACAAGATACTCAACTACTTAACACAGTAAGACCCACTCAGACCAGGTCATATCAGGGACACTCAAGTCCAACTCTCTGTTTTTTCTGTACGTGTCGGTGGGTTTTTTTAACTAATGGGACAGAACACCCAAATGCACTGTATGCAAAATAAAGACCTAAGGGGTCATAGTCATTCACCAACACTAAAAGAATGTCATTTATTTGGTTATGATATTTTTTTACACAAATAGACATTTTTAAACCTAGACATTTTTGTCAACTTTTGCCAACATTTTCTCAACAAAAAAAATAAACGAATCAAAAAAGGATTGAGTGGAGCCAATTTCATCCAAGGAAACGTAAAGCTCCATTATAAGTCTTGCCACAAACGTTACCTGTAATCAGGTTTCGAGAGTCTGATAGCTGTCTGCTCATGTTGTAAGCGGCATTCTGTTTTACACAATTATCTTTTCAGTTGTAGATGACATTACACAGCATTCTGTTCACTCCACAATATACTGTCATATTGTGGTATGGTTAGTAATATAACTCGTACTGTCCCATGTACGCTAAATCTGAAAAGTACAGTACAATACAATACAATACAACGTATTCTTGTATAGCCCTAGGTCACAACAGAAGTCATCTCAGAGGACTTAACAAAACCATTGAAATCACCAACACAGGTCAGAGAATCAACAGTTAAAACACATAAAAAATATAAAGCACACACAGAAGAAAATGTCCATACATGTTGTAGAATGCTAAAGTGTCCTGATCATCACCAATCCTTTCTGTTGGACACTAACTGTCCAACAAGACCCTCCTGCATCGACAAGGAAAAACTCTTAAAAAACCCAGTGGGAAAAAAAGTATTTGTTTATAATTGTGTGCACGCGCAGGTTCTCGGGGGTGACACCTGAGATGCTGGAGCCAGTGCAGACCACTCTGAGTGATGTCCAGGCCAGACTGCGGTCACTATTACCCAGGGACGCTGTTTTGGTGGGACACTCGCTGGACAGTGACCTCCGGGCTCTGAAGGTTACATATACTCTTGTCTCAGTATACATGCAGCCTCAGACCACTCCTGTCTCAGTATACATGCAGCCTCAGACCACTCCTGTCTCAGTATACATGCAGCCTCAGACCACTCCTGTCTCAGTATACATGCAGCCTCAGACCACTCCTGTCTCAGTATACATGCAACCTCAGGCCACTCCTGTCTCAGTATACATGCAGCCTCAGGCCACTCCTGTCTCAGTATACATGCAGGTACCCACAACCCATGGCTGTTTTGTAGATGTGGCCCATCTTGCTTTTAATTTGACTGCAACACCTGAACATACACGCCCCTTCTTTTCCTCACGTACGATGTTTTTTGCACCCTTAGGCACACCTGATTATTTGGTGCTTTAATCAATGCTGACTTACCTGCAAACAAAGCCACAATGCAGCACAAACGTCATTTTCCCTAATTGTTCTTTACTTCAACTTTGAAGTAAAAAAATTAATCGGATAATCAGGTAAATCAAACATTACTCAACATCACTTACTTTTATAGTGAGAAAAATACGGTAAATGCAGTGTGCCTTGGTTTACCATAGATTTGCCATGGTTTGACAGTGTGCCATGGGTTGCCGTAATGTGCAGCGCGGGTAAATGTGTAGTTAACCTGAGCACTGTGTCTCAGTGCAAGAAGGAGCACTACCGCAGGGCCTTTATACCACCGCTGTCAGACTGTACAATAAGTCACTTAAAGTCACTTGCATTAGGACTGAAAAACCTGCTCTACTATTGATACTGTTTCTTGATTGCCACTTTTTATTGTACATAATATATCCTGCATTTAACATGTTTGCACATGTCTTTCTTTTGCACAATCTTGAGGGATTCCATCCATGCCAGATGTGACATGTAAATTTCTCCTGTGTGAGATCAATAAAGTCTATCTTATCTTATCTTATCTTAGATGATGCACCCTCACGTGATTGACACGTCGCTCCTCTACAGTGGACATTGTGGACATCGGTTTAAGCTCAAGCACCTGGCTGAGGTGCTTCTGCAGTGAGTCTGCCACACCTCACTTTTGTCAAACACGCCACTCACCATTAGTATTCAATAGATTTTTATTGTGTCACAGTTTTAAAGGTCATTAGTCAGCCATGTAACATTCACTGCATTTACATGGAGTCTAGTTTGTTTTAAACAGACTTTTCAAATCCCATGTATACCCTTGGGGTTCCCAGTCGTTTCTCCATTTACAATCGATTCAAAGCCGTCCTCTCCCACCCCCTGATATCCCCCAGCGACGGCGTATAATCCATCCATCCATCCATCCATAGTTTTTCCACCTTGGACGGAAAGATGATATATCAATATATCAATATTCATGATAGAGCCCTGCACTTGAGCCCTTGGCCCGAGGGCCCCGACGGCCCGACAGCCCGAGGGCCGGGCTTCGGGCCGATGACCGCATAATGACCTCGGACACGGGCCGGGCTCGGGCTCTTCATTTTCAGAGCGGCAGAATAGATTTACGAACGCACCCACTGAATATAGCGTTCTATCACGCTGTAGTGTTTGTTGTTCTGTGTAGTGTTGTCATTGACGACACACAGCGTTACTTACGGGTGTGTTGCACCATCTGGGCATCATACAGCTGTGTATCATACAGATGTTCACTCTGCACCACTCCGCACACACAGAACTCATTGCAACACATCACTACCATGTATAACTCCGCCCTCTAGCTAAGTCTGCGTTCATATCAGTGCGCGGCACTATATACTACGCTAAAACATTGTTATGGGAGGTTACAAAAAAAAAAAAAAGGCGGGCTTGATGCGGGTTTCGGGCCTGAAAATTCAGAAACCATATCGGGCCGGGCCGGGCTGGGGCGCCACCCCCTCGGGCCAGGGCCGGGCTCGGGCCCAGATAATAGGCCCGTGCAGGGCTCTAATTCATGATATATCAATATATCAATATTCATGATATATCGAGATATTCATGATGTATCGAGATATTCTTTAAGATTGTTAAATTTTGACATCAAATATATCAATTTATTCTATGACTTGGATCGTACGCGCGCTCTGATTGGTTGATTTGCGGTCTGATATTTTCCCATCTCGGACCGTTACCATGACATGGGCAGCGCGTATCACATTTGATATCTTTCCTCGGTAAAGAAAGAATGAGCGACGATTTCGAAGAGCCAGAGGAAGTAATAACAGCAAATAACGACAAAAACACAACTCCTAACAGTCAAGAAGAGTTAGACAACTTCGTTACAGACCAGAAAGGTAAAAACAGGATTAGGAAAACCAAGGCGAAGATTGATATTTGCATAAATTAAAAATAGTCATATAATAAAATATTTATTAACTTCGCTTGCTTGGTCTGTACAGAGAAATATCAGACCATGGTCTTTTTCTCGGTACAAAAAGGCCGCGGTCTGATATTTCTCTGTACAGACCTCGCGCTCGTTTAATAAGCCGTTAATGATGTTTTTATTTCGGTTTTGCCGCATGCTCAAACCTCGCCTGCTTGCCCTTCCCCTTGCGTGTATCTCATTTCACACGGCGCCTGCTCATCTCGGGGCATAGACTGTAAAGTTGCTCGCAGGAAACAAACTTCTCTAAAAAACGCAGAGTTTAGAATATAACAGACGCATAGGTGAGTCCGTGGCATGTCATACAGCGGTGGACATGACACCTTTTGTCATTGAACAACGTGCTTTTATAGCAGAGATTCTAAGCCCTATAGGCAGCTAAAAACAAAACGGATACAGATTAGCGAGTTGGCATTACTTCACGATAGAAGAGCTCCTGTTACTATGCACTACGGAGAGAGAGAGCCGCTTGTCACTAAACTGAACAGGTTACTTACTAAATTACAAAAAAAAAATTTACTCAAATGTTGGAGAAGCACTTTGTTCTCATATGCACTGCATTGAGTTGAGTTGTTTTATTTTTGAATGAAGAGAAGGCAACATGTTTCATTTCCTTATTTTACAGTTAAACAATTTTTATAAACAGAAAATTAAAACAAATGTGACAGAAGCACTCCTACTTGAACTGACTTCCTCTTTGAGATTCAATAAAAATAAAAAATAAAACTTTGGAAATTGGTAAATTAGTTTTTGTAGTAATTTTGGGGGAGTTATTTATCCAGTAAAAAAAATTATATATTTATTGTATATTGAGATTAATGTATTTCTCCAAATTTCCCAGCTCAATTCACACATTGTCATTGTTTCCTCTTTAAACAGACTTGGAGTTGTTTCTGCGGGTACAGTGATGAGTGAATTTTCAGCTCAAGTGAATGACACATATACATGGTCAGCAGTTCTCATTGTACAGTATGGAAGGACCTGCAAAATCTCTCCTTTACACAGCGATGTGTGAAGGAGAGATTTTGATGTGTCTGCCACTTAATCTGCTCTTATAGTTTACTTTCAGTTCTACCATTCGTTTGGTGTTTGCTTTATAAAATGTGTTTATCGGTGTTTAAATCTGATCCTGATCCATGGAGCAACTAGCCCTGAAGCTGCTGAATGTCTTTGTGGTCAGAAAGCAGATCCAGACGGAGGACCGGTGTGGCCATGACCCCTGTGAGGACGCTGTGGCCGCACTGGAGCTGGCTCAGCACTTCATCTGCAGCGGCCCCCTCAAGGTGCTCCCCACGACACACACACACACAAATCTGTCTTCACTAACCATTGAAGGGCTTACCTCACCTAGTTTTTCTGTTTTCATGGTTAGAATGTTTAGGCAGGGTGACGTGATTATTCTCTCTCTCTCACGCTACACAGACACACTCAGTCAGAGAGTGTTAAAGAAGTATGCTGAGACCTTTACTTCTGTACAGACTGCTGCCCAGCCCGGATAAAGTGGGTAATTCATTGTGTGTGTGTGTGTGTGTGTGTGTTTGTTTGTCAGATAGTGGAGCAGCACCTAGATCTGTGGGGCCTCACTCTGAAGGAAGAACCAGAGAGCTCTCCAGCAGCAGCGCCCAGCTCACGGTGACTCCACACATCTCACGCCCTGGAGCGAGGACGGCTTCTCTCTCTCTTACATCCTTTCTTCTGTTGTATTTTTACAAGGTCGCATTCCCTCTCATTAACAGCAAACAACAAAACAATTCTGAAGACTGGTTGTACTGCCAATATTTTGATACACATACAAATATGCTTCTTATTTGAGGACTTATGAGCACCAGCAGCAGATTGACTAATAAAAAAAATTAAGGTTAAAGCGAACCACAAATGTTTACTACAGTCTCTTTGTATATTGAGAGAATGTAAGGGTTGCAAATGTTTTTAGTTTAAAAAAAATTGCTTAATGCTGCAACCTGTGCTGTCTGTGTTTCAGGTTTGCTGACTTGCTACAGGCCTGTGGGCGCTCCTCAGCCTTCTGTGGGCCACGTACTCCCTTTGATATGTGCTTACCCCTGTCCAGGCAACAGTGGCACAGCTCTGACAGAGAGGTAAGACTGACCATGAGAGACTGAGCCAGAACTGAGCTCAGTCCTAGTTCAGTACTGACACAAGGGCTTCATTTTGAGGGTATTGTCTTCATTCACATCGTGTTGGCAGGAAAGAAATACTTATCGGCTTAATTCAATTCGATTCCATGTATATTTGTTTAGCCCTAAATCACGACAGTAGCACAAAAAATATAGAACACATATTTAGTGGTCCATAGGTGGAGTTTCAGTGGATGTTCATGAATGTTGATACTGGTCCATGAATGTTGTAGAATGTCAAGAGTGTCCTGGATCATCACCATGGTGCTTCTTGTTAAACAGGTGCAGACCCTCCTACATCAGCAAGGAAAAAACCTATAATCCAGTGAGAGAAAAGTGAGAAACCCTGGGGAGGTCTACATTGAGAGAGGGATCCGCTATAGATCCAGGACCTAAGCTACAGAACGAGGACCAAGGCCACGCAGCACAGGACTCAGATTGTAGAACAAGAACAGGTGCGATGCAGGACTGAAGCAGCTCGCAGGCGGGAGGGGGTGCAGCCCACGAGGCGGGTCGGGCAGGGCAGTCCGCAGGTGTCAATGGAGGTGACTGGATTCAGAGGTCCCGTCGCCAGGCCATGAAACAGACTATGGGAGAATGAGTGAATAGCTATGAACACACTATAGTCAAAATCCTTATAATGCAGACCAATAAAGTAGGAAGGAGGAGAGGATAGTTCTCAAGTTACCATACTTCTCCCAGCAAACTAACTCCATATGCAGCTTGACTGACAGTCTAATAATTTTATTAGAAAGAAATAATAAATACGTATAGGTTTAATATTGTAAGTATTGCATTTTGAATTAATTAAGTTTGTTTATTTAAGGTACAGCTTGCACGGTAGTTCCATTAAAAAGATGGCTACACCAGAATTGGCATCATGCTATTTTCCATTCGTAGTCCCTGCCACGACGCCACCTTCTGGCACCAATGTGGCCCCACTTGTAGGTGTCATTTACTGCTTATGATTCATATTATTTGTCAGAAACACACCTCCTTTACTACAATCTACTTTGACCATGCATGCACTTGTGGGTGCTTTATGTCTTTCTTTTATGGATGCGCTGTCAAACTGAACTGAGCAGTAGTCACATACGTGTTGTGATCGGCTTCTTTCTTGATGCGCATCAGCTGTGGTCCATGTGTAAATAATGGGTAAGCATGGATCTATAATAAGCACATAAGGCACGCTGTTACCTGTGTGCAAATGGCACTCTAATGGGGCACTGTGTTCAGACTGTTTGAGCCAACAGCTCTGTTAGCTCTGTTAGCTGTTGGCCAGGGCTGCAAGCTTGTTGCTAGGTTCATTGCTCCAACATCTGTCATCTCCAACGGTGCACGAATGTTCTGTGACTTGTGCAGGTTGTTGGAGGTTTGTTTAATTTGCTTCTCCCAGCAAACTCCCCAGCTCATACAGAGGGGTAAGACTGACCATGAGAGACTGAGCCAGGGTCAGTCACAGACTGAGCCAAGTGCAGTCACAGAACATATGAAAAATGGATTGCGTAAAGACGCAATCCATTTTTCCCACACGAGATGAGCACAGTGAAGTAGTAAATATCTGTGAAATTGAATAGTCGAACATGTGAGAATATTTATAGTGCAGGCTGTGGTTCATTACAGAATATAGGTGAGCGGTGGGGAAAGAATAAAATATCTGAGAAAAACCCCCGTTTCCCCTGCGTGCAGGTTCTGCTGGCTTTCAGATGTCAGCCCAAGTGTGCGGCCTTCACAGTGTTGCAGTTCACTTCTGGACAGACTGCAGGCGCTCAAGTTGAGGCTAGTCAAAAGGTCAGTATGTATTTAGTACTACATGCAGTCGGTGTGAGCTGGCCATATGTGTGTGTGTGTATGTCCATGTCCCTCACCATGATCTCCAGGTGAGTGGTTGTGTCTGACTCATTATGATTTTCCCATGGATGTGGTGTGCTTTTGTTGTGACTGGTCTTGTATTCCCAGGCCTGTCCTCCTCTCAGGGACCTGTGTGTGGTGTTGGCGGGGCCCCTCCCTCCTCAATCCTCAGAAGAAGATGTAAGGCTCCTTTTGTGCTTCTGCGGACCCCTGCTCTCCATCAGGCTCATCAACACTGCTGCGTGCCGGGTGAGTCTACCCTAACACCTTTTACTTCTGTGGTGTTTGTATGTTCTGCCTTAACCAGGTTACAGGTCATAACTTACATTTTAGATGTGAATGCACTTAAGAGATGTACTAGAGGGGACTTTGTGTTCAAAATAATAGCAGTGTGTAATTATGTGAAATAAAGCTGTTTTGTTTTGTCTGAATCTGCATGTGCCTGTTTCAAACGCACTCCCAGCGTTATGGTGTCTCCTGACGTTTATAGATAGACCTTTAACGCCTGAGGGAAAATCATTTCCACAGACACTGTCACATAGAATAGGGAGGTAGGAAGTTACAATACACAGAAAGAAACACATACAATACAGGAACAAGGGCAAAATGTTGAGAGCAGCTATGGCTGAAGGAACAAAACATTTGCTTAATCTTACCCGCTTCCATCTTACTGTTCTGTATCTGCATCCTGAGGGCAGCAGAGGGAAGTGGGTGTGGAGAGGATGGTCTGAGTCTGTGCTAACTGTCTGGGCCATGCCCTGCCATGCCCTGCCATGCCCTGCTGTGAGGTTGAGGTATGAGAGGTCTGTGGTGGGGAGACTGATGATTTTGGATGCTGTGTGAGTGACTTAAAGCAGCAGTATGTAATATTTGCATGTCAAGTCATCATTAAATGGCCCCCATATTTCAAAAGGCGTTATTAAATCATGCTCTTTTCGAATACATCTTTAACTGATAACAGTAGGTCAGCCGAGATATCTGAATATCAAAATTAGTTTTATGACTCGTAAAAGTTGTTATTGTTTTCATTACGATGTCCTACCCTTCGCTGTTTCGTCAATCAGGAAGTCAGAGGTCCGGGTTGCCACAACTCCCCGCGGCTAGCTAAAATAACATGTGGACGCAGAACTAAAAAAGGTCTTGTTAAGTAGAGCTGCAACTAACGATTATTTTGTAATCGATTAATCTATCGATTATTTTTACGATTAATCGAGTAATCGCTTGGCTGTGAATTGTGTAGAAAAAAAATATTTTTTCATCACAAAAAGCTAAAGTGGCAACACTCGAGGACGTATTGATGGCGTAAACTTAAAGTAAATGTTTGTAACAGGCTCTTTGTGCTAATTCTGCTATCTGATTGGATGAGACAGACAGATATTCATGAAATTATAAAAACAAAGTCGGTTTTAATCAAAAATACTACATTTTCATGTCATTTTTGCTCTGTTTGAGTCCGTGTGAACCAGAAAACGATTAATCGATTACTAAAATAGTTGTCGACTATTTCAATAATCGATTAGTCGTCGATTAATCGATTAGATGTTTCAGCCCTATTGTTAAGATTCTCAAATCATTAATGACAAAACAAAGACTAAAACGAGGATTTATATCGGGACGCCTCTGAAAACTTGAGACAATTGAAGGCGGATACAAATATTCCGTGATGCAGAACTTGCTGCGTCTGGTGCGTTCTTCATTGACAGTTCAAGAACCTGCCTGGAGTCTGCAATCATTTATATGTAAATGTTGCCTAATGGTTAAGTCATAGCGCTGGCACCTCAGCGGACGGGGTCGAATATGGGCGGATTAAACAATATGATTTATTCTATGACGGATTGTTCTAAATCGGTAAAAGGTAAAAACAAGCCGTTATTTGCAGATTAAAGCTTAATTGTAATAAGAATCATTTGAGACCACATGTACCACAATTAAAATAATGTTAGTCTCTTTTTGATGGGGAACTTATATACATGTATGTCTGAAAAATCGATATCCTCTGGAGGAAACCCTGATATTGATATGCTGAAGAAATATGTTCCAACATTCATTCTTCCCACTCCTATTTTTGACATCAATTGCTTATTTATTTTGCATAATCTATGTATAATTTATTTTGTTTTTGTCATCTCAAATGTTCAAATAAAAAAAAATAAAAAAAACATTAATTCAACATTAGCATGGCTATCATGGCAATGTGAATGGAGACAGACAAACAACTGATAAAATAATTCCCTGTGTTTGCTGCTGGATTTGGTGTGTATCTGGCAACCTGAGTCAGGGAGAGTGGGAGAGGACAACAAAATATTGATTGTGGCTGCAGTACCACTTTTGGCCAGATTTTTACATATTGCTCCTTTAGGTAAGTCTACGTCTGTTGGTGATGAGAGCATATTAAAGTAACAGGGGAGCTGTAGAAAAGAATGGGTTGAATGATTGAAGTGTAGAGTTTTAGAAGCTGCCCTCTCCTCGCCTCTCTTTCTCGCCTCTCCCCGCCTTGAGCTGCCTCGCTCCCGCTCTGATCCAGACTCATCGTCAGCTTCTTCTTATATGAAATAAATTACGTTTACTTCACAGCATGTGTACAATGATTGTTGTTACTCATTTATTAAGAACGTTACTATCATACAAATAATATTACTAATAAGAATACTGACAGCAGCAGCTACATGACTTCTCTCCATGACAGAGACAGACCCTCTGCTGCTGCTGCTCCTCGTCTCCTGATTGGTTGAAGCCCGGCGTCAAAGCTTCAAAAGCTCAGCTTTGCTCAACTTTGGCGTCAAGGGATTCTTTGACGCCGAAAGAGACGCGAGCGTTACGCGTGTCAAAAGCTTCAAGTGACGCGCGTATTGCTCTCATCTTCTGAAACTTTTGACGCGAGCCAAGTGACGCCGGGCTTCTTGGCGTCACCTGACGTGCTTCACCATTCACTTACAATGCAAACCTGACGCTTTTGAAGTCGAAGTTAAGTCCGGTGTGAAAGCCCCTTTAGTCTTGAGCCAAGAGCTATGTTTTGAACCAGGCTGTAAAGTGGTTTTCTGACTCCGCAGTTACAACTAGCGGGATCGTGTCATAATGTCAACCCGCCTCCTTATAGCCATGATTGGACTGTCATTTGCCCCCACTAACTTTGTCTTTTGTCTCTTGCTATGATTTGTTTTTTTCCTGTCACAGCCTAGTACATTCAGGCGCATCATAAGATCTGTTTGCTGCTCAGTGTGACGTACACATCTACATACCTAGTTCGCTCTCTGTAGACAATTCTATTTCAAAATTAGCCGTTTGTCCCTGTGTGGACATGAGCCACGTCTCCTCAGGTCAAAATTGAGATGACAAATGTTTAAAATACAAAACAGGCTTGAATTACAAATGCATGACATAACTAGTCTCTCTGAAGTGTCTCTTCGTGTGTGCTCAGGTCCATGCAGAGGTCCAGTTTGAGCTGCCGGAGTCAGCTGTGATTGCACTGTCCTCTCTGACCAGGCTCACACTGCACGGACGCCGCATCCAGGTACTACACACATGCACATGCACACGTACACATGCACATGCAGCATAGCATGCTGTGTAGATGAAGCTTAAAGACAACTCTGAGTCTGTTTAGATAACAAAGTAGTACAATGGTTCAAAGATCTCAATGTAGAACTAGTCTTTAACATGGAAATATTTCAAATATACCTAAAAAAGATGTGTCAATCAATCAAGATGTTCATTTCAGAACATGTATGTTTCATGTTTTGAAAAGGAGGTTTATAAGCATCTGCTTTATCCAACCCCAACTCCCCTCACTCATACGACACAGGCGCAACAATTTGTAACAACATTGTTTCAAAACAATACTTAACAACAGTAGAAATGTAAAACTATATAATATCATAAATGTGACAAGACCGGCACACGCAGATAAGGCGTAGGTATCCTCCGAGTGCTCCGGTTTCCCCCTACCACTAAGAACACGCACAATCTAGTATTCCTGACAGAGCCGAGCTGTAACATCTGGAGATGGGTTCCCGGGCGTTGTACTATGGCAACCACTGCTCCTGACCGAGACCCAAGTGGAATTTTCAGGATGAGTCAAATGCAGAGGACAAAGTTACCTATGGGGATAAATGAAGTGCACTTTTACACTTACGTTTATTCATTTCACTCCTGCTTTCCCCCCTCTCCTGTCCCAGGTGAAGCGGCCCCTCAGTGACTCCACCCTGGACGTATGTGAGGCTGTGGAGGCTCTGGCCTCTGATCCGCTCACCCGCTGCCTGCTCTATGTGGCCTGCTCCCTCCCAGGCACAGCGGCTTCAGGCACAGCGGCTTCAGGCACAGCGGCTTCAGGCACAGCGGCTTCAGGCACAGCTGCCTCAGGCACAGCTGCCTCAGGCACAGCTGCCTCAGGCACAGCTGCCTCAGGGCAGGTGAATGGGCGTAGGCTGCTCACAGAGGACTCCCTGATGGACACGTTCAGCTGCTTTGGCCCAGTGCTCCGGGTAGTGACCAGAGGACTTACACACGCATATATAGGTGACATTATTTTGTATTTTTTTACTATTTTTGTTGAAATGTTACGACTGGAAGTTTTATCATCTATAAGTATTTTATGGGTCATCAAGCCTTATTTCTGAAAGCTGCTTTCTAACGCTTCGACAACATTTATGTTCATAGTAAAGACAAAACAAACATAACATTTTAAACCGCAAGCGGCATCAATCGGCCCTCGCCGGCCACAACTTGCCTCATATGTATTTGAAATGCAGGACTCATAGTTACAGTTCTGTAACTTCTGTACCTTGGTGAGTGAGTTGTTCCTTGTGTTTGCAGAGTTTGTGAGTGCGGACAGCAGACGGGACGCTCTGAGCTCCTCCCAGGACCTGTTCGAGCTCCACTTCCTGCTCTGTCCTGCTCTCACACCACTGCACCTATCTGCCCCTGGTCCCGCCCCCTCTACAGCCTCCCTCATGCCTGCTCCGGCCTTTACAGTAAGACACGCAACATTACAAATCCAAAAGAATGTCACCATTTGAATGGCCGCAGTTAGCTTTGTTTGCCAAATAAAAAAAGTATGGTTTTGTATTGTGTAAACAACATGGTTCAGAGCACTGATACACTGTCACATACAGTTCCCTCTTATGTCTAGTCTAAGGCTGCAGCTCGGAGGCTGAGGAAGCTGGACCGGCGTCTGGGTAAAGTGTTCCGCTGTCTGCCAGAGGGGTCCTTATCTGTGGTGGTCTTGAGGTGAGCCCTGGATCGTGTGAGTGAGTGCTTAATCATGAGTGACAGCCCTGGATAGTGTAAATGCCCATGGATTAAATAAAGATAAATAATAAACGTCTTTGTAAGGATACCATTTTATCAGGACGTTTTGACACAGCTTTTTCTTGTCAAACACAACATGGATTTGATTAGTTGAGAGGACTTCCGGTAGTAAACGATAAATGAGGGACCACTGTATAAGAATATGGCCTCAAGTCCCAAAGGTGAAGAACCTCTGTTATAAATGACTGGTTTATGTTCTGGTACAGGGGCGGCTGCGACACTCCAGGCCTGTGCTTTGTGGAGGTCAAGGACACTTCCTAACACAGCGCTCTGCACTCACAGCAAGAAGGTCCCCAGGATTTCAAGGCTTTGTGCATGTGGAAGAGCTGAGCAGGTCCAGACTCACATCAAACATGGTCCAGGGGCGATGTAGATCCAACTCTAGTCCAATGAAATGTGCCTGGTACTGAAGTGTAAACTAATAATACAATTATTTAATTATGTTGAGTTCAGGACATACTTAAGAGTAATTTGATTTCCTTTTTTAAATGTTTTGACAAAATGCCCCAGAATGATTCTGCTGGATGTAAGAGACCTGTACACTGAGGGAATGATGGGAGAAATGTTTTGTTTGTCGGCCCCTTACCGTTTTCTTTCTTTCTTTCTGTTTGATGAAAGTGGAGCCCTGAAAACTCCAGATGGAGGACTGCTGTTTCACATAACATTTGTTAAAAATGCGTCTACAAGATTACTTCCCAGATTTAACTTCAGGTAGAAAGACATCAAAATGTTCTATTTCCCAAACCACGGATAGATGCATGTTTTTAACTAACCCTTAGATGCATAAGTGGGTCAAAAAAGACCTGGTGTGGTCGTTTTCTTGAAATATCTTTGTAATGATTTTGTTTTTTTTTGTTTTTTTTTAAAATCATTTTTCATTTCAAATATTCCTCAAACATGTTGTTGATATAATTCCATTTACATTTTTAACTTACCTTTTATACTTTAAGAAATTTTAGTTTTTGTATTGTTACCCCAAGCATCCATAAGTGGGTCAAAAATGACCCGCATTCATTCTCTGTGGAATCTACGGAAGCTTGTTAGGTTCACTTGTGTGTTCTTTTCCCGTGCCTAAAAAGCCAATCACTGCTTTATTTGGACATCTCTATTGGATGTATTCTTCCTGTGTTACTTGAATTTGATTTTAATGTTTGTGCATGTTTTGCAAAGATGTGTGAAGCACTTAACAAATAAAAAGCTGCTATTTTGATCTACACTGTCTATATAGATGTCCTGGCAAGAAAACATGGCAGATCATTTTGTATAAAAATGGGATTTTAAAGATATTGTGACAATATCGTTATCGGGAGTTGGGGAAACAAAATAGAGATTTGTTTTTGCCCATATCGCCCACCCCTAATCAGAAGTGTCACCCCTCAGGAAGATTATTAGCCTGCCAAGTACGGCCTAAAGATATTCTGGGTTTACGATGCCTGCAGCCCCCATGCAATATATGCACGTTGGCTGAGTGGGTAGCACTCTTGCCTCTCAGCAAGAAGGTCCTGGGTTTGAATCCCGGTCAGAACAGGACCTTTCTGAGTGGAGTTTGCATGTTCTCCACGTGTCTGCGTAGTTTTCCTTCAGGTGCTCTGGTTTCCCCTACCACTAAAAATATGTACAATAGTTCTGGCAATAAGTCTTGACACCGCTTCCATCTCTGTGTGGAGTCAGAGACAAATGCCCAAAAATAACAATTGTAAACTGCTTTGAGACTCTGGTCTGTGAAAGGAGGTATATAAATAAAGATTACTTACTTACTTCCTAGTTTACACGGGGAGACAACCAGGAAAGAAGTTATGATGAATCTGGGGAAAAGATTGTCCAGCAGTTGTGTAGTTTACAGAAGAGTTTAGATTCAACGACAGCCTTACCCTGGTCAGCTATGTCAGAAAGAAAAGAAAAGCTGTTCTCCTGAGCATGATGCTCAGCAGTAGTGGATGAAAATAGCAGAAGGAAAAAACAGAAGTGATCAGATTTTACAAGACAAAAGGAGATGTAGACACCGTTGTCCAGATGGTTGGTAGCTACACCTGCAAGCGCCAAACAGACGTGGCCCGTGGTTCAGCATGATTGACATCACTACCCTGAAACACGCTCACACTCACACACACATGCACACACACACAGGCACACACACACACAATGGATGTTAACATTTTTCATTGTTTTGGTTAATTGCCTTTTAAAAAGTGAAAGAAATTTCAAACATGAAATCATGGTGTGGTTCCAAATATAAAGCAATATTTTATACAAGAGATTATTCTTCAATTAAATCACAAAAATGGCATGAAATTGCATTGATTCTAAGATGGGTAATTTTTGACCCACTTATGGAAGAGCATAGGGTCCAGTCACTTGTGCATCAGAGGGTTAACACATTTAGGCCCACATTTTTACATTAAATCATCTTGTGTGGCGAGGAACCCTTTGAAATAAATGTATTTCAATGATAGAAAGTAGGTGAAGTGTTCTTTATAGTAGTATAAAACACCTACAATAGTAGGCTCTATTATATAAATGAATGAACAATATTTCGCTGAAATGATGCTGACTGGCAGCAGCAGATCAAGAATGTTTCTTTATTCACTTGCAACTTTATTGTACTGAAGTATTTTATTTTAGCTTAACATTCAAATTGTTTTTTGTGTAATTATAGAATTGATATCCACATCAATGTTGTTAGTTCAATATTAAGCGTGTCCAGCTCATCTGGTGGAATCTCAAAGACAAATCCCATAAAAATACAACCAGGAGGCAGAAACCGCGAAGGAAAAGTTATATTAATTTTATACACAATCTTAAATGTATGCCTGAGAACTGGAATGACAGCGTTTTTATAAACTCCTTGGTAAATGACATTTTCTCAACAGTGAGTATCGAGGTATGTGTGTGTACACATTTGCCATTGTCACTATTGTGTTCTGAACATTATTGTCCAATGTTTATTTGAAAATACATTATTCTTGGATTTTGGCGGTTTCTTCCTCTTGAGATACAACCTGAAGTTCAAAGACAAATCAGGGGCCGTATTCCTAAAGATTCTTAGTGCTAAAAGTTGCTCCTAGTGGCCAAATTCTAAGAATTTTCTTAGAATCTTGACCAACTCTTAGAATTTCCCCTAAAAGTGAGGAGTAGCTTCTAGTTAAGAAAAAAGCTATTCCTAAAGAATCCTAGCTCTTAAGAGTGCTCCTAAGGTGAGATCCCTTAAGAGTTGAGAGGAGGACTTTTAGCAACTTAAAAGTTCCCTAAGAGGACAAAATGGTGGACGGTAGAGGCAGGAGAAATATTCTATACACTGGATCACAGTGAATCAGTAAAACGCTGCAGATTGGATCCTGCAGGAATCATGTTTAAAAGTCAATCATGTAAAAGTCATCATGTACAAATATACAGTTTTGTTTTATTAACAGCAATCCAGTTCAAAAAGGAGTGTGAAGAAGTTAATACTTTTAAACTCCCACCCTCTATTTATCATTCTAAATTAACTTAAATTATGTGGTTGCTACAGCTTAGTTTATTCCATGGTGTATTTACAGTTATGCAACAGTGACATTCACAATAACATGCACTTGATTTGTGTATGTATAAAATGCTTATATTAATATTTTTTCCTTAATTCCTTTTACGTCTTTCAGTATCACAGCCTTTACTAATACTAATGTTATCATATATATATATATATATATATATAAGTGCTCATGTTATATACGTCTGTTAAATATGTGTGATAAATTGGTGCTGAGCAAGCTCTAATGATGTGGTGTAAAAGTCAAACTTACAACAGTAAGTTTGACAATATTAGTAAATACATTGATATATCTGACTTTCTACCTTTTCTGATTATTTACAATGACACAGTATTCCTAAGATTAGATTCTATGATTGAGTTTGTCCATTAGAGGATCCTTATTTTGCCCATTATCAAAAATATGGTTTCTCTAACTTTTAGGATCAACCAATCACAGCGTCTGAAATGATGACTCATACCTAGCAACGGGGTCGGCCACGCCTCCTCACTAAGATAAAAGTTGTAGTCCATTCCTTGCTCAGAGTTCTCTAAGAGTGTTCTGGAATAACTTTTAAGCTAAGACTCCTAGCTAGGAGTTTTTAGGTTAAGATAGGAGCTCTCTGAGAGGACTCTTAGAATCTTTAGGAATACGGCCCCAGGTCTTTAACACTTCTCCATTCAATGATTTTATCCCATATTGAATATTGCATCACAAGTTTGTCTCTCACCTCTGTTACCAATTGGAAACTAATTGAATCTCTAAGAAATCTTTTAAAGTTTTTGACAGAAAACCCATTTCATTTCAGGCATGCAATATTTAAAAAAAAAAAAAAAATTTGAACATTTTATCAACTTTAGGTATGTATGCTTCATTTACAAAGCGCTACCTGGACTAGCCCCACTTCCTGTATCGGCCTTATTCAAACCTAGGACTTCAAATGGTCTGAGAACTAGGGCATCCTCCAGAGGAGACTGAGGTCCCCTTCAGAAAAACTGCCTTTGGACAGAACACTGTGTGGGCCATGAACATCTGGAACACTCGAGCAATGGCTGAAAAGAAACCAGTCATGTGACCACTAGACTTACGTTTTCTCTGTGCTGTCTTTACTGTATTGTATGTTATCATTTCTTATGTATTTTCCTGCCTTGGGACTACGGATGAAAACTAGCTTGTTAGCTATAATCTAGCATATTTACATTTGTTTTATACTGATGTTCATTAATGCACATTGTCCCGATCAAATCAAGTTGACAATTTGTTAATATGAAACTGCACACACGTCTTCAAACATTGTATTCTTTCCATATTTAATGATGCATTCTAAATCACCATTAAAAGCCTTCAAGTATGGATTTTGGGATAGGTTGAAACCATCTCGAACATGTTTGGTTGGAGAAATCTACATACATGTGGAGAACATGCAAACTCCTTACTGATGAGCCCTGTGCAAACTGGTAATGGAGCCCAGAACCTCCTTGCTGTGCAGCACAAGCACTTATATTTCCACTGAACTATCTTGTGCATCATACATTTTTAGACGAGCTTTTGTCTGATCGATGCACAATATATTTTAACACTTAAGGATAAAACGGCCATCAGGTTTGTGTCCTACAAGTGTAAACATAAGCGGCATTTAACATTCTAAAACAAAGCTTGTTTAAGGCCCAAAAAGAACAGGTTTAAGTTATATGTGTACATCTGACACGTTAGAGCCTTACCAACCAACTCCACTGTTTTAACCTGCATTTTTGGTTTAGCTGCACATATAAAACAAAGATTTTCCAACACTTTTTGATTTTGTTGTGTTTCCTAAAGCAAGAGCCATACAAATTAAGCTTGCACATTATTGCACACCTGGAATAAGGAAAAATGAATGCTCCCGAAGCGCACAGGTAGTTCAGCACTGCCGCCTGATCATGGACATTTCACCTTGCTGGACATTTCACCTCTGGGAGGCACTACTGTTTCGGTCAAATCTGAAGATGGGTCTGTGGGCGCTGTACTGTGGTGACCACTGCTCCTGACCGGGGCAAAAGAGGCATTTGCAGGATATGGGTCAAATGCAACAAAGTTTCCTGCAGGGACAAAGGAAGGACAAACTCGCACATATACTAAAACATTCTTTAATTAGTTTCCCTTTACAAGGATATCTTTAAGAATTTTTAAACATTTCATAGAAAAAGTGCACTTTGCACACATTAGACATGAGACAGTGCTGCAGTTACATTACAAAACATACAACAGGGAAAACATCTGTACAAAACAACATTGACCCACCAATAAATAGGACACTCACTGGTGCTCACATCTGGTAAAAGTGGGAGGGAAAAGGAGCTCGTAAAAAGGGATCAAAGTACTAAACCACCCGGACCTCATGAACACGCCGCAGAAACACGTTTGGACCAGTTAAAACAACTTCTGCTTTTGACAGAAAACTTTCCATGTCAAAGTAAATGAACTAAAAGTTGAGCTAATGTGTTCATGCATTTCAGAGTAAAGATTTTGGTGAAACCTTTACTATGCAAAAAGAGCCCCAATAAAACCAGTTGAAAATGATTTGACCATCCCTCTTTCTGCCAACTGAACAGGTTTACATAAAATAAGTAAAAGAAAAAATGTTTGACGTAGATTAAGAACTGGATATTTCTGTTGTAAAACTGTACACAGCATATCATATGACATTAGTTTATTATTTAGACCGAGCAGAAGGCCATTTTCCACTTCCACCACGAGTAGGGAGCGTTTGATCATTCTTGTGACCATTAACTACATCACAGAAGTTTTCCTGAAAGATGAAACGCTAAAGTACGTCTTGTTTAGGGCCATAATGAACATAATCACGAGGAGTCGTTCTAACTGGCTTTACTCTTCTGCGGTGTGCACCTACAGCTGCACTAGCGTCACATTCACTAAACATAAGACAAACGAATAATCCGCACACGCTCTGAGTGCAGGTAGCTGCGGCCGTGCGCGCCCTGGGGCAGAAGAGGAGCCTGCTCTTCTGAACCTCCTATGGCTTCAGTGTCCGGCCCGAGACGGGAGCTCAGGGCTCTGTTGGTGTGAGTGAGTGCTACCAGACCTCCGGCACCTCGAACAGCCCAGAGGAAGAGGCCGCTGCTGGGAAACAAGAGCACGTCCTTGGTTTGATCTTTATCCATCATACAAATCATCACATAATGATTACACATTCTAAAACATGAAATGGCAAAGGAAATATAGACACGCAGACAGGCCCGCAGACAGGCGGACAGGCGGACAGGCCCGCAGACAGGCCCGCAGACAGGCCCGCAGACAGGCCCGCAGACAGGCCCGCAGACAGGCCCGCAGACAGGCCCGCAGACAGGCCCGCAGACAGGCCCGCAGACAGGCCCGCAGACAGGCCCGCAGACAGGCCCGCAGACAGGCGGACAGGCCCACAGACAGACAGGCGGACAGGCCCACAGACAGACAGGCGGACAGGCCCACAGACAGACACGCGGACAGGCCCACAGACAGACACGCGGACAGGCCCACAGACAGACACGCGGACAGGCCCACAGACAGACACGCGGACAGGCCCACAGACAGACACGCGGACAGGCCCACAGACAGACACGCGGACAGGCCCACAGACAGACACGCGGACAGGCCCACAGACAGACACGCGGACAGGCCCACAGACAGACACGCGGACAGGCCCACAGACAGACACGCGGACAGGCCCACAGACACGCGGACAGAACCATCACCAGCTTGTTGCAAGTCCAGGCAACCAAAACTCACGAACTTTAAGATTAGGTACCCAATTTTCCCCGTACATTAAAAATGCATGTTAGTTGTGCGTAGATATTTATACTACGTGATTTGGTAATATACTGCATAAAGATAGAATAATACTGGCATTGTCTAATACATATGTAATGTTCAGTAATTTAAAGAGAAAAAGCAAACAAAGGAAAAGTTATGTAAAACAAATTAAATTGATTGAATGTTGAATGAATAAATACATTCTTGATTTTCATCTAATTAGTGTTGTGATTTTCCCTTCATGTGAAGGGAATGGTCACAATAATGTTTATGCTGTAAAAGCCATTCAACCGCTATGTGTAAAATATGTTCCAACTGTTGGAGTGCTTCTCAAACATTTCTTCTAAATGGACTAGTGACGCTCACCTTGGTTCTTTTTCTTCTTGTTCTTGTGGCCCTTCTTATGTGGTGCGGGGGCCTGGTGCCAGGCACCGGTGCCCTCCGTGTCCACCGCCTCTGGACTGCTCTGCCCCTGCTGCTCTGGACTGGAGTCAGAGGATTCGGACATCTCTCTGCGGAACAGAGACGAGCTCACACCACGAGATCCCAGACAATAAAGTATCACAATAATTTCTACTGAGACAAGAGTGACCAGAGTCTTGTATCTACCATGTGGCAACCTAGTGCTGCCACATGGTAGAGTGGAGCATGCGGATAAACAAAACACCCATATCAAATATCAATCTAATTTCCAATATTGTGCAACCCTTGTCAGCGTCTGCATGTATACCAAGTGGTGTGAGTAGTTTGTGGGAAACTAATATCAGACAGTGCCATGGATTCCACTGCAAAGTAATTTATTGTTTAGGATTCAACCTGAATTTTTATCCTATTCCAAAAGGGCAACAGTGGCTCAAGTTGGTAGAGCATTGGCCTTTGAGCCTGAAGGTTGTGGGTTTGAGCCCACCAAAAGACCCATTTCACAACTCCCACTGATGTCTGCTGTCATGTCCTTAGGCAAGACACTTCACCCCCATTGCCTAGAATGAATCTGGTGTGTTTGAGTGAATGGTTGGTGGTGGTCGGAGATGCCGATGGCACGTACTGGTTGCCTCGCTTCTCTCAGTGTGTCCCAGGGCAGTTGTGGCTACAATTGTCATGTAAGGAGTGAATGAATAATGACATGTGAAGTACCTTTAAGTGTCCAAAAAAGCACTATATAAAACTGATGCATCAGCATTATTATTATCATTCCATCCAACCACTGCACCTCCAGCCATGACCGAAGCTGATCACGTTTGACACCACCCTTCATTGGACTCATTTCTGACAACTCGTTGTCAGATATGAGTCTGACGGCTGGTGTCCTGGTGCAGTGCCAACAACCTGGAGCTGAACGCCCAGAAGACAGTGGAGATGATTGTGGACCACAGACCTTACAATGGCAATAAAAACAATTCTGATCCCGAGTCCTCATCCTTCGAACAGCACAGAAGGCAAACACACATTTGCCACATTAACAGTGTGGACTTACGCGGTCTTCAGCCAGCCTTCAGAGGTCTTGCTCTCCACTGCGTCAGAGTTGCTCTCGCCTGAAATGACACGAATGCAGAGTATGACGTAGTGATGGGCAAATGAAACGGGAGTGTTGGAGCCTGTATCGCTCTTTTCAAAAGAGGTGTGTGCGTGAGACCGCTGATAACAATGGGAAGTTGTTTCAAAGCTTTTTTTTTGCCGTTCAATTGCAAATAAACTATAAAACTTCTTTAAGACCCCCATAATCCCATCACTAGTATGAAGAGAGAGCAAGCGGCTGCAGACCAGGGACAGGACTCACCATCTGTCTTTGGCTTCTTTCCTCCCGCCACGTCAGCGTAAGAGAAGTGGGACCATCCCTGCACCTCGGCCCCCCCTTCGGGCTGCGTTGGGCTGATGCTGCGCTTCAAGCTCCTGAAATATGACAAATATAAAAAACTATTCAAAGCGCACCTTCCCCTGAAGAACCTTCTTCCTGAACCCACCGTGTGTAGGTCGTGGCAGAGGAGTAGTGGCTCTTATTGCTCCAGCTATCCTCTCCCCAGGTCTTGGGAGGCTGCCTCTGCTTCTGCCTGTCCTGCTGGTCTTTGGTCTGCTTGGCCTGGACATAGTCTGCGTATTTCTGGATCTTGTAGCTCTCGGCATAGCGGCTAGTGTTCATCGCTGCATAGAAAACAACTCCATTTCAAAACTGTTCTGAACTTACTCTGGATTGTTTTAATATTGTCCAGAGATTTTTTTTCTAACTAACTCTTGAATCAGTCCTTAATTGAACTTAGTTCTTCATGTTTGTAGTTTGAGGCCATTCAGTAGCTTTCTGACCTTAGATTTTTGTGGTCAGTGAAATATTAGATTTAGATTTAATATTAGCTTGCACACTCCCCAGCTCCACTCTAAGAATCTTAAATTCAAATATCAAGGTCCCACCATCAGTTTATTATTAAACAGTTTGCTTTTATCAATAGTTTCCACATGCATGTATATCAGCTTTTTCAGCTATATAAGGGAAAGAGGTTGCCTGGCCTGCCAGACACTCCTCCTTTCTGTTCAAAAGAAGAACCGTCTGGACACCTCTTCCTAGCCTATCATTTCACGATTTTACCCACATCGGTCCAATCACGCACCGAGAGGCGGGACTTCCTTTCACCTAGAGGCGGAAGCAAACAACGGAATTGAGTTGCTAATAACTCCTGGTATCTATAAGTTTTTGTTACAAAATCGACAGCAGTCGTTTACATTTGCACTAGCTGACATGCCGCCATCCCTTGTTTTGTGTTTACTGAAACGGCTTGGGTGCCGCTAGTTGCTTTGTCATATCCTGTGTGCATCTAATTGGTTGATGCAGTCTGTCAACCACGCCCACCGGGAATTCGCTGAGATCAAGCTCGTTCCCAGACTATATGTCTTTGAAAAAGCATATCGTTTGGCAGGCCAGGCAAGGAAAGAGGGACCCACCCCCACTCATCTCTCAGGTCAAATAGTGACCCAGTGCTCTTTAAGAGTGCAAAAGATGAAGACTGCATGCAGGTCAGATTTTTTCACAACATTTGAATTTTACTAGAATCTTTCTATTGAGACAAACGAAGGCTGAAGAGGGCTGAGAGGTTACACAGATTCTTCTTATTCTCTGCATGGTACGAGCAGACTCACCAATCTGCACCTGGTCCGTCTGGCTCAGAGACACAAAGGCAGAGGTGTCATCAATCCAGGATACCTGAATGTTTCCTGAGAACGGAGGGAGTGTTAGAAGCACATGATGAGGTCTGATTGTGAGAGAGTATCCTTACCAAAGGCACTGAAGAGCTGGTACAGGTCACTGGTCTTCCACTCTTTAGGGAAAGTGACATATAGAACGTGGTCCCTCTTGGGCTGCACTACAGACACACGTCAACTTCATTTAGATCAAGCATTTGCACAAGAAAAATAAATTGACTTTCAATGAGTCAAATGAATTATAGAGCTACAAAGTCTTCTAGTACCATTCAAGTAATTTGGATAAACAGGACAAAATGACTACAGACAAAGCCAATGTGGCTCACAAAAACATTACTGCGACTTTCATTGAAAAGTCATGTACTTACAGTCTGGTCCCGTTATATTGAGGTAGGGGATGTCAATGATCCTCATGAGGAACAGCCTGAACAAAAGAAAAGGGCACTCATGAGCACAAGGCGCAGACACAGGCCCTCCTACTGCTGCTGCCGACGACCTTACTTATTGTAGAAGGGCTCGATGAGTTTGGAGCGAGCACAGATGTGACTTTTGGGAGGAGTCAGGAACGTGCCTGCAACACATACACTACATGTCAATGTCAACTTTATTTGTATAGCACATTTACAACAATACCAGCTGCCCAAAGTGCTTCACAGGCATGAAAGATGAAAATAAAAGAAAAGAGCATAAAATACAAACCCATGCATGTAAAAGTAAAATGGTAAAACTCAATTGGTGTTAAAAGCCAAGGTGTAAAAATGTGTAGACTAGACTTCAAAACTTCCAATGAAGGAGCTGCTCTAATGAACAGAGGTAGACTATTCCACAGTTTGGGGGCAGCAACAGAAAAGGCTCGGTCTCCACGAGTTTTTAGACGAGACCTGGGCACATTCAACAAAAGCTGGTTTTTGGACCTCACTGATCCGACTGGGGCATACAGAGATAACAGCTCATAGTGAGAAACTTCAAGGACCACAACCTCGGCCTGCAACAACTTCAATCATTTAACCAGGGTTTTACAGCCATTATGCATTGCAATACATCATATTTCATGTTCATGGATCTATAATAATAACAACTGGATAGAGTATTACTAGCTTAGTTGTTCCACCCATGGGCACAGGGGGCGCCTGTGGTACTGCAGACAAAATTCATGCGGGCTACCCAGAAAAAAGTCCCATAGAACTAAATGAAAACTAAAACAGCTCGACCTCAGCTGACAGCTACAGCTTTCATAAAGGTTGGATTTTGTGGGGATTTTGGAGTGTCATCCTGAACTTTTCTTCTTAAATCCTTCAGTTTTCTTTAAATCCACACTTTACTGACACAAACTCCGTTTTCCTTCCCGCTCTGTCTCTGCTCTACCGCTGCTCTGATCGGTTAAAGCGCGGCCGAGTCCCTCTGTGCACGTGCATGAGAGCCACACACGCGTAATTTGCCGCAACGCATCATGGGAGATAATCCACTGCGCAGAACCGGGAGGACCAGATGATGCCCATATACAGGAGAGTTCAGCCAATCTTTCAGTCCTCATGATGTCCCATGCGCACAAGCCATTCATTTGAATAGAGCGCCATCTTGGATCCCCGGGGCTTGGTTAAAACCTTTTGGGGCGGGTCCATTTAGATACACAGTGGTTCCTCGTTTATAGCAGGGGGTTACATTCTAAAAACGAACCAGCAATAAGCAAAAGTAGCAGCTCTATGTTTTAAGGCAGAGATATCAAACCAGTTTGTAGTAGGTCTGAGCGCTGCTGCAGCCATCAAAAGCCGTGCATACGCTGTAAAATACAGCTGCAGGGGACACCGCTCTGAGGGGCAGGAGTTGTAAAGGAACATCATATACAACATATGGTCCACTAGTGTTAACAGGAGTTTGAGTATATACTTGAGAACCACGCTGTAAAACAGACGCAAAAAGGGCCTACACAACAATATTGTGAGGGACCACTGTCAAATCAACAAACATTTATTTGTAGAGCGCCTTTCAGGACAACACAAAGCGCCTGCAATTGATCTTTTACGAGCAAGTTCAAACTTCACACAAATTTCTGGCGTAGGGTTGCTGTTATGGAAAGGAGTGGTACCCAGATAGTTGGCCATGGAGACGAAACAGAGGCCGGTGATGTAGGCGTCATAACCCGCCTCGTGCAGCTGTTCCTGGGCCGTGTTGTAGCTGGAGAAGCCTTCTGCAGTTTCTAAAAGACAAGAAGAGTCTTTACCACACACACATTTCAATTTAAATACAAGATCTCTGAGGGACTAACCCTACTCATGTCATCCTAATATTTGGACTTCAACTTTGTGCTGATAGCTTTGCTGAATAATTACAACAAAAAACAAAGTGTTGTGGTCTTAACGTCAAAAGAATTTTAGTAGCCTGCTGTTTCAGTGCTCCAACTTTTGTCTGTCTCACATGACACTTTTTATTGATTGATTAATTAATTGTCACTTTATAACACCTCTATTTGAATGTGGTTTTATGCAAATGGAAAATAAAAGTACCCTTTGGGTAGATTCATATTCCCCAAAATTAAATTTGTCAATAGATTTGATGGTCTGCAAGGCATTTGACTGTTCTCTTAGCAGCAGTGTGCAGAGATGCCGCTGCTCTTAGGACTACCAGCATTGTAATGGTTCTGTTTTCCCTTTTCACATAATATTGTAGCGATGTGACAAATGTTTTTGTCACATTCGTCTTGACAATAGATTTGGTTTTTGCAACCGCTTCTTTCTATCTGTAGTTTTAATGGTATGCTACAGACAGATGTTTTTGTATTTCCCTGAACACCATGCCATATCAGAATTCCATCTAAACCCAGAAGTATGTAATATCTCACATCTACCACTAGTTCAGTGTTCATTATTTTAGTAATTTGTGTGTGCGGCATGATGGCACAACGATGGGTTGCCTTTCTTCTGTCAGTGTTCTCCAGGGCAGTGCAGTGAGGGGCAGTAGCTCATCAGCGCAGTGTATGGAGAGATGAGTGGACACAGATGAGTGTCCAAAAAAGCGCTGCATAAAACTGATCCATTACAATTTCATCTTAGATTTTTCCTGTTTATCCATGTTTTCATCTCATTCCACAATCTAAAAACATGAATGTAGTAAATATTCAAGTTCATGTTTAAAGATGTAAAGATCTCGGTGTACATTTAATTTTTTAAGGCAGCATGATTTTAACACCTGGCCCTGTATTATGATGTACAAAAAGTATTTTGTACACTCCTCATGGTGCCGAATTCAGAGAGGGACTGTCCAATCAGGAAGCAGGGGGTGAACTTTAATGTAATGGCTGGACAACTTGAATGGATGTCACCGTTATCTATGTGACGGCCTCTATGAGAACTCACCGACTTGTGGACATCTGAAGGGCGTCTCCTTCAGCTGCTTCTCTAGCTCTGCCAGAGACGTGTTGTTGATCAGCTCCTACAAACACACAAGTCAAAGTGCAGGATAGGACTTGCGGGAGGGACAGGATTTGAGCCTACACAAGGATTAGTTATCTGACACTTTGTGTCCAGCTTTATGCAGCTTTTTTTCATATTGGCTCATAGGTCAGTTTTTAAAGAGACTGTGCTATGACATGTGACTTTGCTGGCGTTGTTTTTACTGCAACACAGCTCAACATTAAGTCTCTGAAAGGAGTCACTCATTGACTTTGACGCCAGCTTCCAGCTTACCTTGAAAGGCTGTGTTGAAGACATCAGCTTTGTGTCCAAAAGCCTAGAACAGGGAGGCTGCAGTGAGTAAATATGAAAAGCACGAGGAGATTACGTTGGCCATAGACTATACCTGGGAAACACACACATGGTGACCTCCTTAAAATCCTGCAGATCCTGAAAAGACGCATGAAGGGGAAGGTTTAGATCCATGTTACTTAAACCACTACAACCAAGTATTAAGGACCTTTTTCGAGGACCCTCCTGAAAACGAGATGATGCATATCAAGAGGCTATTCCTCGTAATAAAGAAATGTAAATGATGATGATTAAGCACAAATGTGTATACAGTGGATAGGTCAGTAGGGGTGTCTGAACTTCTTACAAGACAGGCCAAAACTAAACAGTTTGCAACCCCCCAGTCCAAAAATACTTTTAAAGTTACTTTTTTACAGGAAGGTCACTCCAAGATTATGATGGAACAGTCTTTAAATATGGACCTTTCGGTGGATAGACTTTATCACGTAATAATTTTAAGGTAAATTAGACAATATATTTAATTCATACAAACAGCAAAAGTAGCGATTCAACAACTGAGGTGATGTACAAAATGAAAGCTCCGGTAACAAGTGGAACGGGTTAACTTCTTTTGCAAATTGAAACATTTGGTTCCAAGTTTAAAGTTATGTATGTAATGCACCCGAGTCAGTCGATAGCATTTAGCTTAGCATCTCCTTTGACGCCAACGGAGCCCATGGGGAGTTGAGCCACAACATCTTTGCCAACAAGGACATTTGCTTAACATTCCTCTTCCTCCTGCTTCAATTTCTTGATATGTGGAGCCAAACCAGCTTCCTTTACTATCGAATTCACAGTCGTTGCCAAACTACAATCAGCAAAGTTGGCACAACCTTTTGATGTCACTGACATGTATTTATAACACCCGCCTCCCCCGCCTCCTGATTGGTCGGAGAGGCTACAACCGAGGTAACTGCAGACACCGGGAGCAGACCGTGACGTTTATGTAGGAAAATAATTGACCAGAGTTTATGGATGGCTAAGGCCAGGCTAAAACTAGGCAACACTCCCCTCGACATTAACACGCATCAGTCTTTTGGACAATCCTGTAAAGCTATTTTCAGGAGGAACGTATTCACCCAAAAGGGTTCTCAAAGATTTAGCACACGACCCCCATGATAAATGGGAGACAGCACCCCCACCCATGTGCTAGATTTCGATGCAGTGAAACATTCAGATAGTGGACACCCCACTATAATCCTGTGAGTGAGTCTATACCTCGGGGAGGGGGCAGTAGAACTGGTGAATGGTGTGCATGACGTCCAGCAGCATGTTGTGGCCCACCACCAGCTTGCCCTGCCAAAGAGCAAACAGGAACAGAAAACACTTTGCGATAAGGCAGCAGGAAATCGCTGGGGCAGAGCTGAAGTCTGACTCACAGATTTAGAGATAGCGTGGATCACCCGGGAGAAGCCCACTGCATCATTCAACTCCTCCTGCAGACAGAAGACTTCATCATCACAGCTCATTCAAACGTGCCAAAGCAAAAGTAGAGCACAATAGATAACCCACCCCCCTCTCAAGCTCTGAGGTTTGTCTATTCAAATACTGTTCAAGAAAATGGGTCTGTAGAGCAACAATTTACCATCTAAGGCCATGTACACAGTTTTGAACGTTTCGGTCCTAAGCTACTCTGTTCTTAATAAATTCCAGTCCACACAAGTTGTCCAATGCTCAGCAAAACAGAACACCACTCTGAAGGCTTTAAAAGAACTCATGCAGTATATAAACAGAGGTTTTACCAACTTATCACACAATAAGAGCTATGATAGCTACATTGAGAGGATGTCAGGGAGGGTCATGTCCACTCTGCAAGTGGACATGACCCTCTGCTCGTCATCAAAGCAGATATGAACCTTTATTCCCCCTAAAGCTATACTTTACTTAACCCACAATAGAGAAATTAAGATTGCCAAAACAGAACAGACATTTACAATAATCGTGAAATCTAATCCAAAACATTTAACCCAGGATGATAGAATAAAAGGTCAACAGCAGGTAAAAGACATCCAGAGCCTACATTATCCCATCGAAACGAGACTCACAGCTCCACGCAAAACTTTGGCTCATCGCTTCAATGTCACTATGACTCAGATGCACTCACCTGCTCCCTCTCCAGCTTCTTCTGCTCTCGCCTCTTCCTCTCCTCGTCGTCCACTTTACTCACTTGGATAAAGCGTTCTTTCTACAAAAAAAAAAAATAAAAAAAAATAAGTCTTTATACCAGGCCCACAATCACAGCTGACGGCCCACGGATAAAAACAATAAAAATTACCTTTTCTGTTTCCACAGTCTCTATATGAATCCCTTTTGGAAACCTAGGCACAAGAGACGTTAAAGTCAATTTTTCAGATCAAGAAAGACTAAATATGAAGAGGCACTCACTTCCAGTTCAACGTCTGATACATGAGCTTTCTCTGGAACCTGATGGGGGAAATATATAATATACACCATTACAATCATCACTGAGGCGTATCCTCAGTGTGCGTCTCAGATCAATGTGGATGAAGACCTTACCCTGTGCATGGCTCCAAGTCAACACACTTGTCAGAGCTTGTGAGGAGGTCCTCCACTTTTTTTCTAAAAGACATTTAACACACATTATTACAAGATTTATTCTGGAGACCAATTCATAAGTACAGAAATAAAACACATTGTTAATAGCTCTGAGGAAGACCCGTTCTAAAGGTGATCATGGAGACATTGGCTCAGGTTTCTGATCTGTGTGTAAGAACATTATGGTCACACTACACTGGACAAGTTCTTCGGAGTCTGGAGACTTCACCCAATTTAAATAATATATGTTAGAGCTAGATTAGCGGCAGGACTTTAAACCCTAAAGTCTGTCCTGAAGGGGTAATGGTCTTTGCTTGTACATCAGTTAGCCCACTCGTTTCTTTTGCGGCATTAGTTCTTTGAGTTAGCCTTTGATCGGATGATCATAGACAGGAAGTCTGAGACCAGGACCCAGAAGGCGAATACTTTGGACCTCGCTGAACTGCCTACTGGTAATAATGCATCAGGTTTATGTAGTGCTTTTTTGGACACTTTAAGATCCTTCGAACAGCATTTTTCTTTAACTCTATACAATGTGGTAATCCGCCACAACGGTAGCCATAGCTGCCCTGGAACGGACTGACAATGGTGATGAACACTGAGCCTTACCCATTAAGGCCTGACCCACCTGGTGAAACAGACTCGTAAAACCTATGGGCGACTTTAGAACCACCCTTTAAAACCTGAAGTTTTCCAGATATTTAATGTCTACAGAATGATATCCCAGCCTCTGTAGCAGATAGAAACATAATTCCAAAAGAATTTGAGAGCTGACACCTGTGACTATCAATGTATTATTATAAACCTTCAATAGAATAAAACCAAAAATATACAACTTCCACGCAGGAAAGATAAAACAACCAAAAATAATGTGAGTCTTGATGTCAGACAAGACGGGCAAGACCCACAAGCGCAACAAGCTGGGAATGGTTCTGTCCGCCTCCCGGGGTCAGAACAGAGGAGGTTAATCCCGTTTGAGTACATAACGCAAACAGCCCGCGGTCACACATTTCACAAAAATTACATTATCACCTGGAAACAGTCGGAATTTGCGAATCTGCAGAAAATTCTCATCCCTGGTATACCTTGAAGCATTTCATTAGTCAAGAGAATTGATCAATGAAAAGATAAGGTCAAAAAAAGAAAAAAAAAGATCTGTCCACTTACCCGGCCTCAATGGGTTAAAAAAATAAATTAAAAAAATAACATAAATTAGGACTCTATATCAATCTAAATGAGGGGAGTGCACAGCCAAACGCATGCCTCCAAGTCCTTGCCATTTCTCACTTTAATGACTATAAGATTCTGACTGTCACATGCAGCTCTCCAGTCCACTTACACCACTTTGCTGATGAAGTCCTTGTGCTCGTCGGGCACGTGGGCAGGGCTCTTTGAAGAGGGAGAGTTGAAGGATGGCGTGCCCACGCCGTTGGCGTGCTGGTTCCGCCGCTCCTCTGTCTGTTCCCTCAGCTGCACCTCCTCGTCCTGGTTCAGGTACGGGATTCCTTCGAGACAAATGGGAAACCAGGGTCACGAATCGGTCCCCAGACATGACCTTGAGAATATCCACTTTGGCCTTTCATGTGAAAAAAGACAAAACTTGCCACTTTTTCACATGAAGAATACATTTCCCAATTTATGGTCACATCCAAAAACGGGGTAAAAAAAACACACAGAGGGCACACACCGTTGCAGAAGACTTTGTTGAAGTCGAACCCTTGACTCGCCAGGAAGTCTATACTGGAACTCTGAGGAGCCACAGGCAAAGAGCCGTCAGTGTGATTACATACAAATGGACGACAAGGGAGAGAGCGCCACCTACCTGACAAATAAACTTGATGTCAGGTGAAGATCTGTTGAAGGGCTTAGGGAATACATAGAAGTTAAAAGGCTTTATGATGTATCTGGAAAAGACAAGAAAACGGCTTGTTAGGTATGAAATAAAATCCTATGTTTGCAGTTGTGAACCTTGTACATTGAAATATATCAATGAACCAAAGGTTAAAAAAAAATAAAAAATAAATCATAATTTTAACAATTATAGCATTTCACATTTGAACAACTTCACTGATGCAATTCCCTCAATGATTTGCTGTGTGAATGCTGAGCAATAATGTACAACATACTTAATACCGGGGCATTTTGAAACAGCAAATATGATTCTGTTCTAACTAGGGCTGTCAAACGATTACAAATTTTAATAGAGTCAATTACAGCTTAAAAATGTATTAAACTTAATCGCATTTTGAACTATCGGCAAATTTATGCCATATATTTCTGTAAATGGTGGTTTAAATGGAAAGATAAATGACAACAGTGTACATTTGTACTGAAATCGTTTATTATAACAATAAATCCACATAAAATTGCATTAACATTAACTTTCTGTCTTTCTGTAGTGGACAGTATTTTTTCTGCTCAACATATTCCGCATCTGCTAAAGCCTCCTCTTTCTTCTTCTCTGTCTCATAAAGGCTGTGGATAATGAAGAGGTCTTATCTTGCCTCTACAAACAATTCTTTGTTACAGGGATGAAAGACAAGTCTGAAATGCAGGTCAGCCAATGGATGTCATTAAATCCGTTTTATTTGCTCACAACATTTCACTTTGGGGACAAACAACATGAAATGGTAGTGCAGAGGAAAAGTTAGGTACCCCAGCTTTAATTTGGCGTCTTTTTTTTTGCTTCGGGAGAAGACACAGGGGAGAAGGACCGTTTTTTGCAGCGCTGTTTTAATTGCGCGTCCTGTGCGTGATCAGTGCACACAGTGGTCCTGTGTATATGGCTTTGGGTACATGGCCACGTTACGGCTGCGTGCTCCCGTGCTGAAAGCCGCTCAAGAAAGCCACTCCCAGCTGCAGGACGCGGAAACCGCTGTCCAAAGCGGCCGCAGCTGCCCCAGAACGCTGCGGACTCCCATTCACAGCAATTGCCCCGCAGTCATTTGGCACATGCGTTAAAAGCATACATTTTTTAAGGCGATTAATTATTTTTTTTTTTTATTAACGCACGTTAACGCGATAATTTGGACAGCCCTAGTTCTAACATGACCGAAAAACCTCCTAGAAGTTCATTTTGTGACTCACTTGGACTTTGACTGGTCGTACTTGAACGTGCACAGGCCAAACTGAAAGAGGAGGAAGTCCATCGAGTGCTGTCGGAGAGAAGAGGACGGATTATAATGACAGACTTCTCAGAGTGCTCTGAGGAGGGGGCAGACTCCAGAGCGTTCTCTGAGGGGGTGGTGTGGTGGGGTGGGGTGGGGAGGGGTGACAGACCTTCTTGAGTTTAGTGTAGCGCTCCTCGGGGGTGTCCAGTCCGTTGGTCAGCGCGCTCACATTTGGACCGTCACTGATGCCTGGACACAAGGCACGGAACAGGAAGCATCAGCTACAATTCACACAAGGGTCAGAACATTGAGACATGGAACTTTACAGTGACAGGGCCTGATAACCTTGAGGTAACTCGAGGGTTTTTTATTTATTTTTTATTAGTTCATTGGAGAGTTTCCTTTAAATACGCACAGTAATTAAAAGGAAATCCAAAAGTGCGCATGCTTGGGACTGAGCATGCGGGTCAAAGCATTTTAACATCTAAGTAAAAATTGCCAGCGTCAAAGAAAACATTTTGACCATCCCTACTCTTTCAAAAGATCCTTTCAGGTAACAATAGACAAACAACTTAAAAGCATAGTTTAATAGCAATGAAAAAAGACAGGCATGTAGCTTGTCATTCTCTGCAGGATGCGCTGTAGGGAAAGATGTTTTGATCGTAAATGCTCATGTATTTGTAGCCTATACTTAGTAATGTTGATAGTAGGATCATGTAGGTAATGTACACTTACAGCCTGTGTTTCCTTCATAAAAGCCATTAGGGTGTTAATTTTTTTGCAGCTCCAGACAGTTTAGTTTTTTTATGTCAAATATGGCTTTTTGAACAACTGCCTTTAGCCCCTCTAGGCCCCAGTGCAAATCACAACAAGTCAGTCACAGATCTCCCGCTCATACCAGAGAACTCTCCATCGATGGCCAGGAAGTCTGCCTCTCCTATAGCCTCGTACACAGTGGGCAGGCTCTCTTTAAAATCTGCAAAAAGAAGAAGTGTCATTTACCAATACTACAATGTTTACATAAATTATCAAATCTTTCAATATTGGTCAAGTTTTATGATCACGATTAGTTTCACCTCATGAAGCTGGTGTCCTGAGATGATATTATATGAGCTTCAAATTTTATTTTTATAGCCCATACATTCACAACAGCAGTCTCAAGGGACTTTACACAAGTGTTAATTCCTCAACAGAACAATTGGAACACAAGAAATTGTCCTGGATCATCACCATCTTTGGGGCCTTCTGCATTAGTAAGAAATTACTTTTGGATGCGTAGAATCATAGTTTCACTTCATTCTTCTCACAAAATAGATAAAAACAACAAAAAAAACATTGATTCAACTGAAAACTACTTTGTTTACTTTTGAATGCACTGGAAACAGCATTTTCTACCCGAGCGGTTACTGCAGTGCTCATGGTTTTGCACTGGTGCAGACCAGAGCAGGGAGGATTCATGCTCTACAAGTGGATCGGGCGAAAATCCACTGGAGAATGCAAACTTTTTGAATCAATGCTAACAAAGCATTCAGCCTTTAACTTTGGACCAGAGCAGAGAAAATGATCCAAACCAAGCACCTACTCCACCTCTGCTGCGGTGACCTGTCCTGCTCCACCCAGCGGCTACACCATCTCTGCTGCTGTGACTCAAGAGTGCTGTAGCATTTTAATACTTTTGTTGGCTATTTTTAGAATGATCCATTTATTTGTTTTGTTTGCGTTGACGGATGAGATTCTGCTGCTATTGGACACCTACATTTCTCCAACTGGGATTAATAAAGTATGTCTCTACATAAAACACAGTGAATAGGGCTTAGTTTTTCATGCCAAGACATTTTGAAATACAACCCCCATATGTTCCAAAACCACTGTGTTTTCTGTTCCTTTTGTGTTTGAACTTTTTGATTCTCTGATCTGTATGGGCAAATTCAATGCTTGTGTAAAGTTTTGTCGGTTTTGTCCCTGACAACAAACTGTTAAAACACCTAGTCAATAAAATATGTTGGGACTAGTTAAAACTTCTTTGTCAGCTATATTAAAGTGCAGCTTACAGCTCAACTCAAATTCAGATGTGGTTCAAAATTAAATACAGGTGCGCTTAATGGAAGTGCACTGTAGAACTGTAGTACTTTCTGGACTCTTGTGGCTTGAAGGTTAGCTACCCCAGCATTGCGACATTAATGATATTTTCAATATCATTGTTGCCCCCCCCCCCTCCTTTAAAAAACACCCCAGTTTTTTCTAGAGACATCTCCTGGTTGCAGATTGACATCACGTAGGGAATGTCAAGCAAGTTACCACTCAATCTCATTCGTCCAATAGATTTATAATAAATAATACCATAGTTAACATTGTTATAACAATAATGAATTAATATTGAGTTCATGTCGCTGAATCCTAACACTGTCTTTGTTCAAGCAAAACATGCATGTTGAATACATAAACTATCAATACGCACAGACAGCCTAATCATAACATTCAGCAGACGTGTAGAAAATATAACTACTATATTTTGAGCCAATTTAGTGAAGCACGAAAGAGAAATGTACAACCTAACCTGTGGCAGTGACTAACAGAGTACACTCATATATCCTCATGATCCTCATACATGCATCAGTGCGTGCGTTACTGGATAAGCTAACCCGCTAGCACCGGGCAGTACCGCTGTAGCACCTCCACACAGCCCGGGCTCAGGACCGGAGACAGCGGGGAATGTGCCCGTGTGTGCGTGTGCATGTGTCCAGGACATGGTGCACGGTGCATACTTACTCCTCCGGGTGACCTCCATGTTTCCTGCAGCAGCACAATGAAGAGCCCGGTACTGACAGACTGATGCTAACGAAGGCTAACCACAGCTAGCACCTCCTGGCTTTAACACTTCCAGGATGCAAGTGTCACAGGCTACGTCTGAATTCACGCAAAACGCCGCCTTCCATTTCCTTCCTTGCCCTTGTTTATTTTACTCTCACAGGACCAAGTTTAGTCAAGAGAGGTTTAAGACATATTTGAGAAATATGTTATGCCATTTTTGTCTAATTGAATCCTACTAGCGTAAATCAAATATGAAAAGAAAGAACAGGGAACCATAAGAAAGGAGGTGTGTTTTGTGAAGTTGGATGCAGCCATCAACATGTGGGAAGGAGATCGCCAGGTTATTTTATTATTTTATTATTTGTTTATGTGTATGTATTTTATGTATTATGTATACTAAACAACAACTGGAATACCATTACACAGATATAACATTTAAAGAAATATTACAAATTATAAAATATTTAGAAATAAATAAATAAAAATCCAAAAAGCTCATTGCCTATGGGTTGATTTATAGACTAGAGGCATGATTTAACACATAACACATTCAGACATATCCAATGCCAATTGTAGCGCTGATCTTATCTCTTATATTCGCATGTTATAGTGTGCTTTTACTACTGTCCTTAGGTATGCTGAAGTTATTATTCTTATCTATTATGGATGTGTCAAAAATGTGCGATCAAATTATAGCAATAAAAAAAATTAGGGTTTATCACATTCAACTTTTCTTGTTAGCACTAGAGAGCGCTAAAGTCCACTGGATAGTATAGTCTCAGGGGCTTGGATATACGCTGTACGTCTCTGGTTTACTTGAAAAAAATATTTGTTGGCCCCTATACAAACACAAAGCAGGGGTACTGTAATGATTTTTCCTTCCTCAAAAACATCCTAACGGTGAGAAGGCAAAGCAAATATACACTTCAATAAATTAGTTAAATATATATATTTCAAAATGGTGTACACAAGATTCAAAATAAACAGAACACCACGGTTTGAAAAGGGGTTGAACTTGAGTTACTTTGATTTAATCCAGTCCTGATGTCAGAAATGTCAAAAACATCTGAAATAACAATACAATTGCGCTAAATTAGAGCAGTAACACAATAGAATATCATTTGGTATAACCCTAGACAACACACTATCATCTATTAATCTGTTCCAAAGAGAAACTCCACACGATGAAATGCAAATTCAGTAGGTCTTTATTAAATTAAATTAAATTAAATTCAATTCAATGTATTCTTGTATCGCGCTAAACACAACCATTGAAATCCCCAACCCAGATCAGAGAATCAAACAGTTCAAACAATCAATCCAGGCTAGCACTCATTTTTGTTTTCTATGCCACCTGCATGAGAACGTCTGATGCTGTCAGACTGCAGGAGCTCCGCAGGGCATGGTCTTCACCCACTTTGCCCAGTCTGAGTGAAGAAGATGACATTGTCTGGGATCGCGTCTTTAATTCAGACAGAAGACATGTTTTATTGTCGATGGTAGAGACAGCACGAACAAAGCACACGAGCACAGATACAATAGAATGCAAGTGTATTATACAGAGCGGAGACATGGAGACCTCCAATCAGCAGCTTCCACGGTGCCATGTAGCTTGGCCTTCAGATAGACAAAACAAGGGAAAAGTACTGGCTTCTGCACATTGATAGATTGATGAGTTTAACTTTAACAAAAGTTGCTTAAAAGTGTTATGAAATCTCACATGAGTCTTGTGTGTGCATGAATAATTGGTAGTGGTCGGCCGACTAGGTTACAGCTTCCAGTCTGTTTTGAATGAGCCTGGATGTAAATGGGTTTGAGGCTGTCCTTTAAATCCATTCCAACCATGCAAACTTTCAGAGGTTGATTCATGATGTCACACTTCACCCCCAGGCTCTAAACCTGTTGTGAGATCACGTGAAGCCAACCTGTTTAAAGTGTTGCAGTGGGTGACGCAGACTGCTGTGTGTGTGTGTTCATGCACGTGTGTGCATATGTGTGTGTGTATATATGGGCACATCAAGGACATCTGCCGCTGTGTGACAGTGCAGCCTGGGGCCTCGGTCCTGTCCCATCAGCTGTCTCCTCTGGCACCTGCCGAGGCCCCGCACACCTACTGATTGTGAGAGATTATTAAGCCATATGCCCTTCTGAAATCTCCGCCAGATACACATTTAGAATGTAGTGTTCTGGTGAATCACTGGTAAAACACATACCAACCATTACATACATTTGAACTGACCTCGGACTATGTGTGTAACCCGTGTCCTGGACCTATAGCCTATTCGTTCGTGGGAGCAGATCCCTAGCTCCTTGTGGGTCTCCCTGAGTTTTCTCAGTTGGGGGGTGGCAGTCAGAGCTGCACCCAGTCCACATAGCACCAGCTCCTCACTGATCCTCCTGCAGGTGCCAAGTCCACATGAGCCTTGATGTTCCAGCGGGGGCTTCAGGCAAAGTGGGGTCCAAAGACACAACGACAGCAGTCATCAGTGGGAGTTGTGAAGTAGGTCTTGTGGTGGGCTCGAACCCACAACCTTCAGGCCCAAAGGCCAATGCTCTACCAACTGAGCCACTGTCACCCCTAATTTGAAATCCCTCTTTCAAAATTTCCCAATAGATTAGTCAGTAAACTTTATTTATATGCACCTTTCACAGACCAGAGTCACAAAGCGGTGTACAATTGTGGGCATTTGTTTCTCTCCACACAGAGATGGGAGCGAGGTCGCCAGTACAGGAGGTGCATGCCAGACCTATTGTACATGTTTTTAGGGGTAGGTAAACCGAGGACCCAGAAGAAACCTACGCAGACACGAGGAGAACATGCAAACTCCACTCAGAAAGGCCCTGTTCAGACTGGGATTCGAACACAGGACCGAGAGTGGTATCCACTCAGCCACTCTGCTGCCCTATCTGCGCACTCACAACACAAGGGTGGTTTTGAACGTTTGAGTGCCACAATTGTTTCACTTGGTTAAGAGTAGGTCATTGTCATCCGTCAGTACTTTTTGGGAATCTTCTAAAGTCACTGGGGCAACAGGAGCAGTGGACTCATCTCCATATGGACCACCTGAGCTGTTGTATTTCACTTTCATTTTGTGTTGATGGGTGAAACCGAAGCATGGAGAAAACCTGCAAAGCGAGAAACCGGCTGGGTCTAGGAAACCAATCTGCATGTTCTTCCCCGTTCCAGCAAAAGAGTCTGGTAAAAGTAACATTTTGTGAACAAATCAGACCGCTGCAGTGGTTAGCAGGTGGCAGTACGGACAGGAGCCTTTCTGTGTCTGTGTAGGTTCAGAACGAATGAGTGTGTGTTGGTGAATGCGACTGTGGGACGATGTACAATCTGTGTATTTACCCTGTCCCTACTCTGTTATTATAATTGCCACATCTATTTTAGTTTTTTTCTCTTCACCCCCTGTTTATTTCAGTTTTGTAAGTTTAGCCAAGGTTTTGTTTTTGTAAGTAAGCAAGTTTTATTCTCTGATACATGCTTGTGAAAACTGTGGTGATATTCTTTTTTTATACGAATACAATTTTTGTGGTTTGCAAGTTACAGGTTTAGAACATTAAACAACAATTTAAACGTGACCTTATTCAGCACATGTGATCTGCAGACGAATGCACCATAACGTGTCACAATCATTTTCTTTCATACAAATATGATCTACAGTCTAGTTCCATGTGTGAATTGGAACAGGACTTGTTGTGGTGCATTGGGTGTCTCTGTCTAAAATCAGCGCACCCGTCAAACACCCTCACACCTCTGTGCTTCCTGGATACTTTCACAATTTTGCCCTATTTCTGCTATAGTCCGGTGAAAGTGCAGCCTCAGCGGTTCTATTCTGGGCCCCTCTTAATTAGCAAGGCTTATCTGACGAGGTGTATTGTTCTGAAGACCCCCACTCCTCCAGACCCTGGCCGTTTGTTTGGACTCCACGATCCATACCTCCATCGGTGTCCTGGGGACGCATTGTTAGCGCATGACATTGTTGACCCAGTATGGAGGCGTGCGATTGATTGGAGATCCTGTTTAAACAAATGCTGGTTAACTGCTGTCATTGTCAAGTTATGTTTACTTGTTTGTGCCTGTTATCAACCCCCATGTATTATTCTTATTTCTAAATTAAGTTGGAATAATTCATTTGTTGCATATTACTTATTTCTTGTGAATGTAATCCACCATTCTAGTCATTGAGTGAACTATTCACATTCGTGCCTTGCACAGAATATATTCAACTCAATTCAATGTATTTTTGTATAGCCCTAAATCACAAACGCAGTGGTCTCGCAGGACTTTACAAAGTTGTCAATTCACCAATAACAGATCAAAGAATCAGCAGTTGGAACACAGGATAATAATAGCAAACACATATGGACAGCAAGACCAATGTCCATACAAGTTATCCACACCAACATATATATATATATATATATATATATATATATATATATATATATATATATATATATATATATATATATATATATATATATATATATACTAAATAGATATTTACTAGGGCTGTCAAACGATTAAAATTTTTAATCGAGTCAATTACAGCTTTAAAAATAATTAATCATAATTAATCGCATTTCAAACTATCGACAAAATGATGGAATATTTTTCTGTAAATGGTTGTTTGAATGGAAAGATAAATATCCACATAGTGAACATATGTACTGGATTTGTTTATTATAACAATAAATCAACATTAAATGGCATTAACATTATTAATATTCTGTCTTTCTGTTTAGACTCAGACCAAAACTATTATTTGTTATAGATGAGGGACATTTCAAAACAGTCTGAAATGCAGAATGTCATTAAATCTGTCATGAACTGGTAGTGGAAGCGAAAATTAGGTACCCCAGCATTAATTTAGCGAAAAAAATCCACTTTTTTGGAAAGCACATTTTACAAACAAACTTTTGCCAAAGGATTTATTGCTGGAATTTGTCTAAGAATATAATGATTTATTT